GACAGAAACCAAACGTGAGTTGGCTTGGGGTGTGGTTTGATGTGGGTGTTTTTTGGGTGTGTCCTTGCCACCACCAAGACACACCCATCTGTCAGAACTTTCTCTGCAGCTGTTTCCCCCCACTCAATCACAACAAACAAATCTCCTGCAGGTTGAGTTCAATAATTACAGGCAGATGTATGGTGAGCTTTTTGTTATTTATGTATTCTTTATTTATTCAGGGAAAACCCATTGAGACCAGGGTCTCATTCACAGGGGTGACCTGAACACAGCAACACAACAATCAAACACAATATGAAACAAAACAGCAATCAAATGACAGCAAATTACCTTTGAATAATTAATTTATAAAGCCCTTTTTACACGAGCAGATGTCACAAAGTGCTTATAAAGAAACCCAGCCTAAAAACCCAAACAGCAAGCAATGCAGATGTAGAAGCACAGAGTAATATGCGAAAAATGCAATTGCTGAATTTATGTAGATATTCTAAAGTAAGTGTTTTGATAACTTTCAAATGTAGTAACAGGTCCATGTAGAATAACCAACCCTGTACATAATACCATAGAAGCAGGGTTCAGCTAATATAACAATGTGCACCTTTCATCTTTCCTTGTCATTCCCAGCCGATACAGATACTGTGCCTATCAGCATTTTGTCTGGTGGTAATGTAGCTACCTTGGCAAACATGTCAGAGTGGTCATACATTCCTCTGTGGTGTCCTGTATACAACAGGAGTTTCCTGATCCTGGAAATCCACAGTGTTTCTCCTTCCCCATATTGACTGATACCATTCAATTGAATAATAAAAAAGACAATACAAGTAAGGGTTGTGTCTAGTAAAATGTGTATGCAGAGTGCCAGGTCTCTCTCCATTCAGAGACATCAGTATCAAGCCCGTCACATCATCTTGCAAGTCTCCATGTGCTGCCTCCATACATGTTTCTGTGAACACATACACACATAGTCACTGTTCTATTCCCAATGGCATTTAGGATAGGTAATATCTGACACACAAACATGTACTATGTTGAAGTTTGAACAGGTCAGATAAAACCTACCCAATTATGGTCTCCCCATCAAATGACTGAGGCTGCCATCTGGCAAAAGCATCTCCAGTCCATCTGCAGAAATAGGCAGAGTTGAGGCAGAGTTCATCAGTGACACATGGAATGAAAAGGGTGTTGCTATTACTGGACATTAGTGCTGTGCTGTATTATTAGTAATCATCTCATTGTGGATGTGTTGAGGGCCAGGTCTCTCTGCGTCTCATGCATCTGTGAACACATACACACAGTCACTGTTCTATTACCAATGGCAGTTAAGGATAGGTGATATCTGACACACAAACATGTACTATGTTGAAGTTTGAACAGGTCAGACTAAACCTACCTAATTATGTTCTCCCCATCGATGACCGTTAGTAAGCAGGCAAGCGGTGAGGTTGGACGTGAGATTTTTGCCAGAGCCCCATTAATGGGCATGGCAGCGTAGATCAGCTCCTGGCCCCTCATCAAAGATACTGGTCAGTCACACACAAATACATTCACACATAGAGCACTGAATACATTATCAATGGTGGTTATGATTATCCTGGTGGAACCAACCTGATCGCTACGTTCACTTTTCTATTTGACTTCAGATATCATAAAATGTAAAGTGAAATAGAACGGTGAACACAGCGAACAGGCTGGTTCCACCAGGCTAATCATAACCACCATTGATAATGTATTCAGTGTGTATGTGTATATTTGTGTGTGACCGACCAGTATCTTTGATGAGGGGCCAGGAGCTGATCTACGCTGCTATGTTTCCAACAGGCTAGGTTATGCACTGGACATTATATGCATCTAAGAAGTAGAAAATAAGCAACAAATAATGTCAGTTTACATATATTATGTTTCAAAATTGGGTTATCAAAAGTTTCAAAGTAATGAAGTGGGTTACCTTCTGTATTTGTACAAATGATCAGCCTGTGAAAGCTGTTGCCGCTGACAGGTGAAGGTTGCTGGCCGGATACTTGCCAACATGTGGCTGACTGTTCCATTCATAGGAATGCTCACAGCAACTTGATAGTTTATCAAGTTGGGTCTTTTTTAATACAACTTTTCACATTTCACATAACACACATAAGCTGTCTTTGTTGATGAAGCTGTCTGTGTCATCAGGGCAGTAACTCGGTTCACTATCAGAGGCTTCATGATGGCATGTCCTTTTCATAGGAGTCAAGGGAGACTGACAACAACGGAGGTACTTGTGTCGCATTACACACTTTTATTCTGAGGTCTTGCCTGACAAGCTGTGAAAATAGCAAGTGAACAGTGAATGAAATTATTTTTGGAGGTTGCTAAACCATTGCAATCACATTGCTGGACATGTTATCATACTCACCTTTGCTCCTTCTGGTAGGTCCCCGGCACCCGTTCATGACAAGGGGATCAGTCTGACACCCAACTGTACACTTTGTCTAACAGAAAAACAGGTTCAACGATTGTCATCATCCCTTAATTATATACTGTAACTCGAGAAATAACGTTTGGTAGCTAATTCTATGCTTTACAAATGTAGACTGACTGACTCCAGATTGGATTCGATTCAGGCCGGTGACGCCGTTACACTATGCAACCAACTGTGACAAATGTTTTGCTATGGCCCTGGGTTGGTTTGAGTGTGTTGCTGTTAGTTAGTACATGGTTGTAGTTAGACATGAGTTAGTTAGTACCACCATAGCTGCATCTAATATTTATTTGTGCCCTAGACATGGTTTGCACCTTGGAGGCTAATGTGTCTATTTTGTCTAAATTACACACATTTAGAGTGGCATGGAAATACGATGGCATTGCTAAAGTACGCCATGTTATGATGTTGTCAAAATTACTTTAGAGAGATGGCAATGTTGCCATTACTGTTACTATTAACGTTTGTCAAAAATAGCTAGCAATGGTAATGTTAGCTAGCTAACATATGGTGGTCCCCTCAATCTTAGTTAGCTGGCTAAAGTCATACTGCATCTAAAGTCAATCTGGTAACATCACAATCATGACAAAAGGTTTCCTTCTAATTATTTGCCTTCTTTTGAAACGTTATCGTGTTTCCAAGCCAAATCTGAGTTGTATTGATTGTAGCGGGTTTACTAACATGTTAGTTCTAGTAGCTATGTTGATTATGACGTTAGCTAATATGGTGACAACGATGTAGGCTGTGTGTAGTGGTTAGCGGTTATGATATGAAGGTTTGGCTTGGTCACAGACAGCTGATGTGTTGTGCACTGAAGTCCACAAGCAAAGGGACAAGGTGAGAGGAGGAGATTGTGTAGATGCGATAACTAATTATACAACGATCAAAGGGATCATGATGTTTGTATGTGGCTGCTATGAAAGTAAACTGTGTTTGCATGTGCTCAGGGGCATATTTATTCCACCGATTCGGTTGAAAAACATTTATTAATCGGAAGCAAACGGAACCAAATGGGGATAAACATGCCTGAATTTGTCTAATAGAAACTCTCGTTTGCAACTGTTGGACTAATGATTACATCCTAGATCAGCTAGATGCAGGCAAGAGTGTGTATTGAATGTGTCACTGTCTGTTACCTTGACATTCATAGGTTAGGTTGTAGCAACCTCATGATGAAATAGGGAAATGTTGAGTATCATGTAGTAGCCTAAAGCTATCGATGTTACATTGAGCTGGGTGAATGGAATATGAATGACAGTCATCCAATATGCTGTAATAGAGGCCATGCTCCTAAAAAAAATTATCATCCTCCCTCATCTTAAACGGCACCGACCACCACTGGTACACACACATAGCCCAATATTAGACCTCTGATTAATTAATAAGTTGAGGTCTACGGCCATTCCATAGCGAATGCGTTTAAGACTTTGTTAAAACTCATGATCCAATGACTGTACCTGCTAGCAGCATGTCCCAACACTATCTGCCATAACACTGTGAGGTCGCTTAGGCAGAGTGCTCCTTTATATTTTGTAAATATTTAATAATTTGTAAGTGTTTTTTGTTATATTTTTAAATGAACTTTTTTGTTGTTGATAAATCTCTGTTTTGATCACATAAATATGGTGGTCTTCAATGTCAAAGTTACAGGACTTTGGTGTTAAATCCGTTTGCCTTGGCTAGCTAGCTAGCTGAATGGCTAAAGTTTGCATTTAAATAATGCAGCAGCAGCTCAGGCTATTTTGTTTCACCTGCGGGTTGGAAGGTGGAGTCTGGGGTGTCTGAGATGTCAGAGAGGCAGAGGGACTTTTCCTGACCACTGCTGATGTGTGGTTGATTTTCTGTCGCTTTACTGCAGTCTGACAAAGCGATGGGCCCTGATGGCCCTGATAAAGAGCTCCTGGCTTGTCTGACAGACTGACTTTCTCATTGGCTGTACTGTACCATCGATGCGCCCTCTGCTCAAGCCATACTGACTTTTCCGAACTGCCTCAACACCATTTGTTTTCCATCTTTCATTTATTGTTCATTTTTTTATAATATGTTCTGTTTACAAGAGGACTGCAATGGAAAAAAACGTTTTTTTGTTATCCTCTATGATTTTTAAATGCATTGTATCCACATGTGTTGTTGTATTATATATTTTTTAATGGTCAAATAAATCAAATCGTATATATCCCACGTCTGAAGCTACATCCATAATCGGTAGACCGTTCTGATTGGAGAATGAACAAGAAACTATGAAAACCAGTTTTTAGCGTCTATGTTTTGTGCTAGAGGTCTAATATTGGGCCAACACACATGCTATGATTCTAAACAAATTCTGTAATTCAATGCTTGCAGATTTGTTTCTCCAATAATATTATTTTTGTTTGATATATTATTGTGTTTTACATTTTGTACCAAATAAAATATTTGTAATAAAGTGTGTATTTTAATTTGTACATCATGATGATAAACTTGACTCTCCTTGGTTTGTGAAATCCATAAAGAAAACTACATTCTGCCATTTCTGGTCTCATTTTGATGACGTCAGAAACTTGCGTAAATACCGTGGGACAGAGTTGCTGAGCACTGCCACGAGTGAATTTGACAGATTTCACTGATTTAAACCTAATTGTAGTCATTTAAAAGCAGTTATGGCTTCAGAGGAAGGATTTAAGGTGAGTCCGAATGATTTGTGCATGCTCATGTTGGATTAGCACATTGTCAAACGATGCCTATTGCCTTATCTGTCTGCTAAAATATGTTGTAAACTCTCGCAAGCAGCAGATCCAGATGGTAGCTTCACTGGACGTTAATGTTTTTGTTTACATTGATTTTTGTCTCTTTAGGTATCATCTTTGAAAGGCAAAGTGACTCTGATCACAGGTGCCAGCTCGGGCATCGGGGCAGGGACAAGCATCATGTTCGCTAAACTTGGTGCCTTACTCGCATTGAACGGGCGCGACGTGGAAAACCTCACCAACATAGCCAAACAGTGCACGGACCTGGGTGCTGCCGAGGTACAGTCCAGTGTGCAATTCATGTCATTGTCATGTTGATACAATGTAACAGGTCGTTTACGCTGACATGGTGTTGTGCTTGTTACAAAGTAGCTAGCTATAACGTTCTACATTCAGTCCTGCTGCATAGGTGTGTGGGTTGTCAGTATAATGGAATGGATTAAATGAAAATGTGCAAAATCCGCCCACTAGTGCCCGTGGCGTGCTATATCGAACGCTCCTAATTGCAATAGCTGTATTATGACAACACCACTGTAACAAAAGTGATGAATGAGTAACATGCTCTGTCCATTGCTGCCCACCAGCCCTTGCTTGTACCAGGGGACCTGACTAACGAGGACACTGTAAAGAAGACCGTGGAACTGACCATTGCCCACTTTGGCCGGCTGGATGTGCTGATCAACAGCGCTGGCATCCTGGCCATGGGCAGCATTGAGACAGGTGACCTGGCTCAGTATGACAAGGTCATGAACGTCAACGTCAGGTAGGATTAGCAGACCTGTAATACCCTGAGGAATAGACTTCATGATAGACTGAAGATGATATGTAATGTAGGGCCTTGAATGACATATCTAGGGCACCAACAAACTATCCATGTTCTGTATTTATTCATTGCAGCGCATTGTTATGCAAAATCATGTACTAGAAGATCATGTCGGTATGTTTCAGACACTAACATCTCTACTTGGACTGTTCCCCCCCCCCCCCCCCTTTTCTTTCTGAACCTTTGTTTTGTTATTCCACAGATCAGTGTACCATCTGACTCAGCTGTGTGTGCCCCACCTCATCAAGACTAAGGGTTCTATCGTCAATGTGTCCAGCGTCAACGGGCAACGATCAGTAAGTATTACCAGACCATCGTCTGTGTGTTGCTTTATCATTCTGTTGTAGCGGAGGTGAGTCGGACTCATTCTCTTGATGAGGTAGCCCTGCCTTTGACAAAAAATAAATAATTAGTGTCACCTTCTACCCAAGATGGAAATGTACTCTTAGCCTAATGGTTAAGACGTTGGAGACTGAGCTTCAGATCCCACCTGTGACACTCTATTCCAGTATGATTTCTGATGCACACAACATTTTTTTCTAGTTCCCAGGTGTCCTTGCCTATTGTATGTCCAAGTCCGCTATTGACCAATTCACACGATGCATAGCACTTGGTAAGAACAATTTGTTTTTCACTTTTCATTCTACTTTCTGTAATATGTATTATTATGCCGGGTGAAAATACAGGAGGTACTCATACGACTCATATTTCTTCCAGAGCTAGCGTCGAAGCAAGTGCGAGTGAACTCTGTCTGGTATGTGAAGTCTATGTTTTGCTACCTAATTATTACGTATTATGTAGTTATTACAACATATTGATCTCCCTCTCTGTTGTCTTTCCCCCTCCAGTCCTGGTGTGATCATAACAGATGTCCACAGGAGAGCAGGGCTGGATGAGGAACAGTATGCTCAGGTAACCTACTATGTTATACAGAGGGACCTCACACATCATGTTTTACAAGGTTGTGTTCACTGGTTGGGGTTCCAAAGTGTATGTATACTGTAGAATTTCAATGTTTAGAGAGCACATGGCTTACTATATGACAGAATTTTGTCAGTCACCTAGCTATAATGCAATTGTTTTCTATTTCTCTGTCTCACTCAACTCAATCACTCACTCACTTACTGTCTCCTTCTACCCCATCTCTCTTTCTCTTAATTTTCCTCTCTCCTCCCCTCTTCAGTTCCTTGAGAAGTGTAAGCAGACCCATGCCCTGGGGAGACCAGGTGAGGTGGAGGAGGTGGCCCATGCCATAGCCTTCCTTGCGTCAGACGCTGCCACTTTCATTACCGGGGTCAACCTACCCGTGGACGGTGGCCGCCACGCCATGTGTCCAAGATAATATCCTGTGACATCATCAGTGACTGGCAGCCAATACAAACCTGAACTGTCTCACTTGGTTTGTGTCATTTTTTATTTTTCTTTATTTTTATCTATCAAGTCTAGACAGACAGAATATAATGAACTGTAGAGTATGGCCTAGTCTAGGGCTATAAAAGATAAATAATGTCAAGATCCTTTAGTTCTTCTGCGTTCATCTAGATGACTGTACGCTTAGATGGGAGATTGGGTTTCAAAATGGGACATGAGTGCCCTCATGTGGTAAATATGTGAAGTGTAAGACTTGACACTTCAAAAGGAAAAACCTTTAATATTTCAGTTGCAATAATACATTAGCTATACAAAAATGTAAAGCCTCAGAGTATGCACTATGATAATAATGAATTCAATATTTTATTGAAAACTAACTCCGCTAAAGGTGTCTTTGTAGCTGACAATTTAAGTTGATTGATGATTACCTTATATGAGAGAATGACTCGATTGAAACACATTGATCTTCTTGGGTTTCAAATATTTATTGAACACCTGAATGTTGAAGAAAATGAAAGTGTTGAAAACTAGAAGCTGCAATATTATGAAGCTGACAGACAGAGGACCTGCAAAGATGAATGAATGAACATTATAACCACTAATAACATCTATCCCTTCCCCTAAACATAAATCTGCTGTTTCACTCAGTAGATGTGTTATGCTTATAGTAATGAAAGAAATGCAAATGTAGGGCTCTTTTGAGTTGTGTGATATGAGAGGTATTCTGAGTTTATGGTTGGTTGGCCTGTAGAGTATCACAAACATGGTCAACAATAAGGTGTAAAACAGTAAGGTGTAAAAGCATTGAAAACGGTCCAAATACAGTACAGTTTTGATTTTCAAAAACAAACAAATATAAAACGAAATCCATGAATCCCCAAATGTATACAAAATAAAAAAATGCTCTGCTGATGATAGGAAGTGTAATAGATGACAGATAGTCGCAAAACCCATGGACATTAAATAACATAAATTAGCATGTTGGGATCCACTGTATAAAACAAAGCTTTGCATAATTATACACATTTATACATTTTCAACAAATCGTAAAAATAAGACCTAAATCTTCCATAATAGCTTCAGACTCGTAGAAAGGGGGTAAAATAATGATGCAGGGGGAAAACGCTGTTTTGCTAGCTTGAAAAGTGAATGTAATAATTTTTCTTCTTTGCATTCATAATGTATAAAAAAATATTCCCTTTTGAAGTATAAAAGGCATGTAGATATATTCTGTCAGGATTAAACAAGACTCACCACAGGAGTCAGTTAATTATTTTAGCTGAAGGTATCAGGTATCATCATCTCTGTTTCTTTTTTATTTGAAAGCACCGAAGCTAGTTGAGAGATGGGAGGTAGGCAGACTATCTGACACTTCTGGATCCACTCTCTTACCTCAAGCTTCAATTCACTCGTTTTTCGTAGACTGGTGGGCATTTCGTCTGCACCTAGTCACAAGTAGATTCATACCTCATCTGCAGACTAGGCAGGAGAAGATGGATGGGAAGCATACACCTGTGGATGTATGCTAGGAACTATGCCTACACCTGAATGTTATGATAATATTATATCCAATGTTTTGAGATCACTGTAAACCTGAATTGCTTTGAAAAACTGCAGAACGAGATATATATATTGCACTTTTATATTAAGATATACATATAACATGTATAAATAATATATGTGTATGTATGACATTTTAAAAAGACAAGATGTACTGCATAATATGCTAATACATGTATAATCGTTTCCTATCACGTTACACATCTTTCATTACATGTTGAGTTCAGACCATGAAAAGGAATAAGTTAAACGTTGTCCAAGTGTGATGATGTCAGAAGAGAGATTGTCATATTATTTTTCTCTCTCACTCTGGCATTCAGGGCTCGTGCCGTGCAACAGTAAAACAAGTCCCTGAAAGAAGCCAAAGCTTAATATCTTCTCCTCGGGCAGGCGGTAGGAACTATAGTGCGAGACGCCCCAGTATCTCTGCAGTTTCTCCTGGTCCGTCCCTCAATGGCGCCTCCTTTATGTTTCTGCAGTCCGAGCATATGCTGGAGGGTAAGGGACCTGACCTGCCCTGCATCTTCTGATGGGCCCCAGTATATGGGGACAGGGAGCCCCTCCTAACCTCCGCCATCCCCCCTTAAGTCACTCCTATGAGGAGGCTGTGTATGTACTGTATTTTGGGTTTCTATAACAACAGGCCTCTATAAGAAGCACACAGGGCCCACCTCTAGGTGGTAGTGCGAGCCAGGCTCTGTGGCTGGTAGGTTATACACGTCCAGGATAGGGAGTAAGTTGGGGTCCTGGGTCTGGAAGATGAAATGGGTCTGGTGCCAGCGGCCATCTTTGATCTGAAAGACAAGCAAGTTCAGCTGGTTAGAAAATCTTTGTGAGATGTGGAAATAAGAGAACAAAACAGTTTGAATATTGGAGCACGGAGTGCATAACATAAAATGCAGAGACTGAACAGTATTTCGTCATGCTTTGCACTATTTGCAGATTGATATGATATACAGTGCCTAGAGAATGTATTCACAGTCGCACCCCTTGACTTTTTCTGAATTGTGTTGTTACAGCCTGAATTTAAAATGGATTTAATTCAGAGTTTTGTCACTGGCCAACACACAATACCCCATAATGTCAAAGTGAAATTATGTTTTTTGACATTTTTACAAATTAATAAAAAATGAAAAGCTGAAATGTCTTGAGTCAATAAGTGCTTAACAAGTCACATTAATTAGTATGTACAGACTCACTCTGTGTGCAATAATAGTGTTTAACATGATTTTTGAATGACTACCTCATCTCTGTACCTCACGCACAGAATTATCTGTAAGGTCCCTCATTCGAGCAGTGAATTTCAAACACAGATTCAACCACAAAGACCACAGAGGTTTTCCAATGCCTCAGAAAGAAGGGAAAAAAACAGACATTGAATATCCCTTTGAGCGCGGTGAAGTTATTCGTTAAATTTTGGATGGTGTATCAATACAGCCAGTCACAGAAATGATACAGGCGTCCTTCCTAACTCAGTTGCCGGAGAGGAAGGAAACCACTCAGGGATTTCACTATGAGGCCAATGGTGACTTTAAACAGTTATCAAGTTTAATGGCTGTGATAGGAGAAAACTGAGGATGGATCAACAACATTGTAGATACTCCACAATACTAATGTAATTGACAGAGTGAAAAGAAGGAAGCCTGACAGAATACAAATATTCCAAAACATACATCCTGTTTGCAACAAGGCACTAAAGTAATACTGTAAAAAATATGGCAAAGCAATTAACTTTTTGTCCTGAATACAAAGTGTTATGTTTTGAGCATGTCCAATACAACACATTATTGAGTACCACTCTCCATATTTTCAAGCATAGTGATGGCTGTATCATGTTACGGGTACGCTTGTAATCGTTAAGGACTGGGGAGTTTTTCAGAAAAATAAATAAACGGAATAGAGCTAAGCACAGGCAAAATCCTAGAGGAAAACCTGGTTCAGTCTGCTTTCCACCAGACACTGAGAGATGAATTCACCTTTCAGCAGGACAATAACCTAAAACACAAGGCCAAATCTACACTGGAGTTGCTTACCAAGAAGACAGTGAATGTTCCTGAGTGGCCGAGTTACAGTTTTGACTACAATCTACTTGAAGACCTGAAAATGGGTGTCTAATAATGATCAACAACCAATTTGATAGAGCTTAAAGAATTTGGAAATAATAATGGGCAAATGTGGCACAATCCAGGTGTGGAAAGCTCTTAGAGACTTACCCAGAAATACTCACAGCTGTAATTGGTGCCAAAGCTGATTCTACAAGTATTGACTCAGGAATGTGAATACTTCTATATTATTAGATATTTTCAATACATTTGCAAAAATTGATAAAAACATTTTTTCACTTTGTCATTATGGGGTATTGTGTGTAGATGGGTGAGAAAAAAATATATTTTGAATTCAGGCTGGTAACACAACATTTTTACATTTACATTTTAGTCATTTAGCAGACGCTCTTATCCAGAGCGACTTACAGGAGCAATTAGGGTTAAGTGCCTTGCTTAAGGGCACATCGACAGATTTTTCACCTAGTCGGCTCGGGGATTAGAACCAGCGACCTTTCGGTTACTGGCACAACGCTCTTACCCACTAAGCTACCTGCCGACAACCAAATGTGGAATAAGTCAAAGGGTATGAATAATTTCTGAAGGCACTGTACAACTGGGTAATTACATTCTGGTTAGATAAGTAATAATATAGTATCCTTATTACATGGTATAATGGCACATTTATGCAAAATGTTGCAGAACCATCTATAACTGGTCAACATACCCAGCAGTCATCTCTCACTATGTGGGGCTCTAAGAGTCCTCCAGCCTGGATCATGTCTCCGCTCCAGGCCTTGAAGCTCACAGCGGTGGGGGAGGGCTCCAGGGAGGAGCTGTTGGCCCACACAGGGACGTTCAGGCAGTGGATGGTGACGTGTTGCACCGCCTCAGAGCTCAGGAGGTGGAGGAAGTTCATTTGGATGCGACCTACACCAATCTCCAGCTGCAGACAGAGACAAACATCAACTACCGTTACAATTCCATCCCTAGTCTCTTGTGACAGACGAAACACCAGCAGGCATGCAAGATCTGGTTCTAGGTGCCCAGATTACTAAATCCCCCAAAATCCTATTTGAGGTTGAAGGTTAGGGCTTGTCAAAAAGCCACAAAAGACAGGAAATTCAAATGAGCCAGATAATGAGAGAAATAGAAGTTGATGCTGACCTTGGATACTGTGATGGGTTTCAGACAGGTCTGGCCGCCGCTGCTGAAGTTACACGTCACTTCGATTGTGTCAGCCGAGCAGCCGAGGTTTGGGTCGATCCAGTAAGTGCCTTTAGGGATGGAAAAGAAACTGAGTGAAAAGGGAGTTTGGATACAGGAGTAGTGTAATTTCACCAGAGTGGACACATATTGACAGCTAAGTGCTGAGGGGCTATGGCAAGGATGTAGTGCTTTTGGAAGAGGCGTCACTAGCTTCGTCAGGTGTATAGACTTATTGTTTAGGCCGTAGTTATAGCACATACAAGCCCAGAGTTTTTCCTTGTAAAGGCACGTGCAGGCTAAACTATTGGCCCTAGGACCTAGTAACTGAATAAATGAACCTTATATTTTTCTGTGGAAATAGTGTCACAGCTTTTCCTGTCATTCAGACGACATTAGTTCCAACTTCTTTACCATCGTTCATCCTCTGTTCACAGTCCTTGAGGTCTCGGCAGACGCGTGCGGGGTTGTCGTGGGTGCCTAGCGGGTTCTTCAGGCTCTGGATCAGTGTGCTGAGGTAGTGGAGGGTCTTGAAGATCTCTGTACCCTGGTGGTCCAACATGGGCAGGTCCATGTCATGGTAACTCTAGAATGGAACGAGGACAACGGTCACACTAAGCACCAACCAAACTGCCACTGTATAGGCAGACATGATAATGTGCTAAAATGTATGAAGACAAAGTCAACATATGGGGAGCCTACAGTAGCCCATAATCATTGATTTGTAAGAGGCTTACTTCAGTTTTGTACATCGAACTCCATATAACGGGCACCATGTTTGATGTGCACCACATTTGACACACTAACATAAACACACACAATTATCCTCTGGCCACATTGATCAATTGTCCTCTGGCCACATTGATGAATTCCCAAGGGATCATCTCACAAAGAACTCACCTCTGACCTCAGTGCAGTATGGGAATCAATAATGACTTGGAAAGCAGCTCCAATAGCCTCCTTTCTCTGGAAAAGAAGACACAATGACACAGTAAGACCACCCTGGAACACCTACTTTCACCCATCCTCTTCATCCTTCCTGAGACAGTCAAGCTTTAACGTAAGGGTAAAGCAGACTTACAAATGTCAGAGAACCAGGGAGACCCTAGAAACCAAAGGAAATAGAAAGGAGGGGTTTAATGCATGGTACAGTCATAGTACAGTGTACAAAATAATGAATAATACAATTAGGATAACACTGCCACAGAGTTACATAAATAACACAGAGGACTTACTGGGGACCCAGGCAGTCCACGAGGACCAGGAGGGCCCCTTGGTCCTTGCACCCCCTGTTTGTGAAAAGAAACAACAGACAATAATACTTCAACTGGGGACTGGTCTTGACCTATCAATATAATGAATTTCGTCATTTAAACTCCTTTACCAGGAGAAGCAAAAGCAGCATCAAACAGCAGCCTGGCAGTGATCCTTCACTCTGAAATTATTCCATAACAGAGGAGCACTAAGGGAAATGAAAAGGCCTTTGGGCGTCGAAGCTAAATGCACTCTAAGTAGAGTGCTCTCCATACTAAGCACCCTATCCTTCCTGTGGTCAATGCTAAGCATGGGTTGTGTCCAAAATGGTACCCACTATTTGGGGAATAGAGTGCCATTTCAGACACAACCTCTTCTATAGGGGATAGGATTCATCAAAGATATGGACACGCACCATCTCCCCTCGACTCCCTTTGTCACCTTGGGGTCCCTGATGGAGATAGAGAAAAGAAAGAGGGGAAATCACTCCATCATTGCCAAATAAGAGAGAGGGTTAACATGTTTTGCATATCAGAGGGTATGAGATATGATGATGTACATACTGGACTACCACTGGGGCCGATGATACCAACTGGGCCTATGGCACCAACATTACCCTGGAGAGAGAGAAAAACCATGGTGATAAAGTAGAAGTATAGGTAGATATCTGATCAGGCAGTTTGACAAGGCAGTGACAATAGGCAGATAATCATTTTTCACCTGGCCTAACCAGGGAAAAAAACAGGCTTTATAGTTACAACTACGGCCCAGAGTTTTCCCTGGTCAGGTAAAAACTCTGGCTCTGCTCATAATGTACACATTTTTTCTAAGCTCTTCATACCATCAATCCATGTGGCCCTTTTGGTCCTTGTATCCCGGCTGGGCCCAGATCTCCTGGAGGTCCCTATGGAGATACAACAGCCAGGTCACTCATTATACAAGTCAATATTCGACGTCCATCCATGTTTGAGGATGTCGGGAGATGATGCGGAAACGTTGTTTTTGATATTTTTGTTTTAAGCTTATCCCAAACCTTAACCCTTACCTTAACCATTCGGAGTTAATGCCTAAACCTAACCTTAAACACTTCGAAATGTGACCTTTGGAACAACTTCGAAATGTGATGTTTGAGAAACATGGATGAACATCTAATTCTGACGTGAGACTGTGAGAACTTGTTGGATACAAATATATGTTTTGACAAACATACATATTGATAATGCACACTTAATGTGAAGTATGACGGTCTGGGCCAAATGAGTGGAAGGTTACACTATATGGGCATTTCATCTGCTTAGCATCCTCTGTGTTGTGTGAATGTGCATACACTGTATATCAAACTGAAACACTGTAGGAAAATCTCCAAGTGGAGCACTGGCAGTCATACGACACACGAAATGACTGCCTAAAAGTACAGTAAAGCCTGCTAACGTCTCTGTTTTCTCAGCTGGCCAGCACCTGCAGAGCAACATCACTACAGAGTAGCAGAGTAACAAAAGTTATGGCGTGTTAAGTGACATTACGCGTGGGTGCGTTAAACTTCTTGTGGACCGTTCTTCTGTCCCAATGCAGCAGTCTTTAATTCCGATTTATCCCTTTCAGAGCAAAAACAATAAATGCTACCAAACCATTTGAGGCTTTAAATTCCTTTCAAGCTCTTTAATAATGTCCAGCCAATCTCTGATTAACCACTGAAAACGGGTTATGCTTTTTGCCGTTGTTTTATCAGAACCATATATATAGTTTGGCCAACTGAGAAGGAGAGGGTCCATCACTAGAGACATTTAACTATTTTAAATGTTTATGCAAGTATTTATTCAAGAGCAAGATGTGTTTGTTGTGTTTCATTCACCATTGCAGGATTCTTTCTGGATCAAAAAAGGAATGGACCGGGCCGGGCTGGCGACGCGCACCACTGACTTGGTGCGGGGAGCAGGAACAGGCTGGGCCGGGCTGGCGACGCGCACCATAGGCTTGGTGCGGGGAGCAGGAACAGGCCGGGCCGGGATGGCGACGCGCACCATAGGCTTGGTGCGGGGAGCAGGAACAGGCCGGGCCGGGCTGGCGACGCGCACCATAGGCTTGGTGCGGGGAGCAGGAACAGGCCGGGCCGGGCTGGGCTGGCGACGCGCACCATAGGCTTGGTGCGGGGAGCAGGAACAGGCCAGGCCGGGCTGGCGACGTGCACCATATGCTTGGTGCGGGGAGCAGGAACAGGCCGGACTGGGCTGGCGACGCGCACCACAGGCTCGGTGCAAGGGACAGGAACAGGCCGGACCGTACTGGGGACACACGCCACTGGCCCTACGCGGGGATCAGGAACGGGCCGGACCGGACTGGTAACACACCCCAGTACCTCTCGCCGTGCCTCTACACTTTCCTTCCCCTTTGTGACCAGTGGCCCCCTTAACCTGGCGGCCTCCTCTGCCAACCCGCTGGACCGCTCTATCGCGGCCTCCTGCTGCCCCGTCGTCCACGGCGTGAGCCCCCCCCTAAAAAATGTCTGGGTGTCTCTCCTCCCCGTGGACCAAGCCTCCCTATCTCTCGCCAGACTCTTCCTCCACTGCTCCAAAGTCCAACCTCTCTGGTCTTCACTTGGCTTGACCCAGTCGAGACTCTTCCTCCACTGCTCCCAAGTCCACCCTCTCTGCTCTTCACTAGGCTTGACCCAGTCGAGGTTGCCACGGAGATCCGCTAGCGATTCCCCTGGCGATGGCTCCTGGACACGCTGCTTGGTCCAGTTTTGGTGGGATCTTCTGTCACGATCGTCGTATACAGAGGACCAATGCGCAGCGTTATTTGCGAACATGCTTTTATTATTGATACACGAACAAAATAACAAAACGATACGTGACGTCCAAAGGTGCAAACCACAAACCTACAACAGGAACAAGATCCCACAAACACTGTGGAAAAACAGACTGTTTAAATATGGTTCCCAATCAGAGACAACCAGCAACAGCTGACACTCGTTGCCTCTGATTGAGAACCACTCTGGCCAACATAGAAACACAATACAAGAACTATACCCTAGAAACACAAAACTAGAACAACATAAAGAACACTCACACCCTGGCTCAACATACAAGCGTCCCCAGAGCCAGGGCGTGACAATCATGCTGTGGGGGTGCTTTGCTGCTGGAGGGACTGGTGCACTTCACAAAATAGATGGCATCATGAGGAAGGAAAATGATGTGGATATATTGAAGCAACATCTCAAGACATCAGTCAGGAAGTTAAAGCTTGGTCGCAAATGGGTCTTCCAAATGGACAATGACCCCAAGCATACTTCCAAAGTTGTGGCAAAATGGCTTAAGGACAACAAAGTCAAGGTATTGGAGTGGCCAAAACAAAGCCCTGACCTCAATCCTATAGAAAATGTGTGGGCAGAACTGAAAAAGCATGTGGGAGCAAGGAGGGCTACAAGCCTGACTCAGTTAAACCAGCTGTCAGGAGGAATGGGCCAAAATTCACCCAACTTATTGTGGGAAGCTTGTGGAAGGCTACCCGAAACGTTTGACCCAAGTTAAACAATTTAAAGGCAATGCTACCAAATACTAATTGAGTGTACGTAAACTTCTGACCCACTGGGAATGTGATGAAAGAAATAAAAGCTCTCTACTATTATTCTGACATTTCACATTCTTAAAATTAAGTGGTGATCGTAACTGATCTAAGACAGGGAATTTTTACTAGGATTAAATGTCAGGAATTGTGAAAAACAGAGTTTAAATGTATTTGGCTAAGGTATATGTAAACTTCCGACTTCAACCGTAAATAAATATACATATATATATATATATATACATATTATTTAAAAAAATTAATTCCCTTTATTACTTTCCAAACCCACCACCATTTCCCTAATTGGAGCAAACTAGTGAACAACAATGCTTAGGCCTCTACTTCCAGCTTATACATACTATATACATTTTATGAACACAGTCAATCCCACAATAATTCTACCTTGCTCGTTTTTACTCCTGAACCTCCTCCACCCTCAACCTCTCCGATCATTTTCATGATGTCCATCCGGTTTGCTTCTATATGCCATATCTTTCTAACTGTGCTCTTTCACAAAAGCTCTCAACCTATAACCTATATACTTATTATGGACACAGTATGCTTTACATTAGTTATCTTGTTGTTATTCGTTTTTGTTAATTGTTATTAGTCCCATCCTTCAGCTCCATTCAACACCTCCCATTTATCTCCTAACACTATCCATATTGGATTTCTAATTGCCATATATTTTTCAAATGTACTGTAACATTTTTGCTAAAAGTATTATTATATTATTGATCGATTGACTATGACTTTTCAGATCACCCATTAGTGCTATCTGCAGGGTTAGCTCCAGGTAAATATTGCAATCCTTCAGCCATTCCTGGACCTGTGACCAAAAACAAGCTACAAATGGACAGTACCAAAACAAATGATCTAATGATTATGTCTCCTCGCAGCAACATCTGCAGAGCTTGCATCCCCCATATAAATAACATTCTATTGGTAGCAGGAATGATGTATAATAATTTAAATATTATTAAAAATAGTTTTGAATCCGGTGTCGTTTTGCGTATCAGTTCATAAACACTATGCCATGGAATCGGTACATCAAAAATCTCTTCCCAGCTATTTTGCAATCTCCAGTTGAAGTCGGAAGTTTACATACACCTTAGCCAAATACATTTAAACTCAGTTTTTCACAATTTCCGACATTTACTCCTAGTAAAAATTCCCTGTCTTAGGTCAGTTAGGATCACCACTTTATTTTAAGAATGTTAAATGTCAGAATAATAGTAGAGAGAATGATTTATTTCAGCTTTAATATCTTTCATCACATTCCCAGTGGGTCAGACGTTTACATACACTCAATTAGTATTTGGTAGCATTGCCTTTAAATTGTTTAACTTGGGTCAAACGTTTCGGGTAGCCTTCCACAAGCTTCCCACAATAAGTTGGGTAAAGTTTGGCCCATTCCTCATGACAGAGCTGGTGTAACTGAGTCAGGTTTGTAGGCCTCCTTGCATGCACATGCTTTTTCAGTTCTGCCCACACATTTTCTATTGGATTGAGGTCAGGGCTTTGTGATGGCCACTCCAATACCTTGACTTTGTTGTCCTTAAGCCATTTTGCCACAACTTTGGAAGTATGCTTGTGGTCATTGTCCATTTGTAAGACCCATTTGCGACCAAGCTTTAACTTCCTGACTGATGTCTTGAGATGTTGCTTCAATATATCCACATCATTTTCCTTCCTCATGATGCCATCTATTTTGTGAAGTGCGCCAGTCCCTTCTGCAGCAAAGCACCCCCACAGCATGATGCTGCCACCCCCGTGCTTCACGGTTGGGATGGTGTTCTTCGACTTGCAAGCCACACCCTTTTTCCTCCAAACATAACGATGGTCATTATGGCCAAACAGTTCTATTTTTGTTTCATCAGACCAGAGGACATTTCTCCAAAAAGTACGGTTTTGTCCCCATGTGCAGTTGCAAACCGTAGTCTGGCTTTTATATGGCGGTTTTGGAGCAGTGGCTTGCTGAGCAGCCTTTCAGGTTATGTCGATATAGGACTCGTTTTACTGTGGATATAGATACTTTTGTACATGTTTCCTCCAGCATCTTCACAAGGTCCTTTGCTGTTGTTCTGGGATTGATTTGCACTTTTCGCACCAAAGTACATGCATCTCTAAAAGACAGAACGCGCCTCCTTCCTGAGCGGTATGACGGCTGTGTGGTCCCATGGTATTTATACTTGCATACATTGTTTGTATAGATGAACGTGGTACCTTCAGGCATTTGGAAATTGCTCCCAAGGATGAACTAGACTTGTATCCTGTTTCAGTAATAATGAAATCAGACCTTCTTCTTGAGTGTCTGATAATCTACCATTTACATAGGAGTGGTTAAAACATGCTAATAACAGCCCTCTGAGTATATCAAAAAAGGTTTGGTATACCTCGACCAGTATGCAATCCAACCCTGCATTTTTCCCGGACTTAATGTCTTTAATTGCATCCAGAAGTTCCTCCTCTGTAATTTCATCTTCACATGAGTCTTTATGTATGGCTGTTAATTTTACATTATCAATACAAAAAATTCCCTACAATTAGCTTCAGTTAGAGGAGATGGAGGCGACTGAAATGAAACATATGCTTAAAGTACTTTGCTTCCTCCTTCAAAATATAATTTGGTGAATCATGGGTGCGCTTCTTTGTAAACCATTAAAAAACCTCCCTGGTCTTTGTGGTTGACTCTGTGTTTGAAATTCACTGCTCGACTGAGGAAGCTTACACATAATTGTATGTGTGGAGTACAGAGATAAGGTAGTCATTCAAAAATCATGTTAAACACTATTATTGCAAACAGGGTGAGTCCATGCAACCTATTATGTGATTATTTGTGAAGCAAATGTTTACTCCTGAACTTATTTAGGCTTGTCATAACAAAGGGGTTGAATACTTATTGACTCAAGGCATTTCAGCTTTTCATTTGTAATGAATTTGTAACAATTTTGAAAATCATTATTCCACTTTGACATTATGGGGTATTGTGTGTAGGCCAGTGACAACAAATCTAAATGTAATCCATTTTAAATTCAGGCTGTAACCCAACAAAATGTGGAAAAGGTCAAGGGGTGTGAATACACTGTAATTAGTTAATTGCTCAAGCCACAGCATAAAACAGGTGTGTTCAGAATGTTCTAGAGAGTCCATGTCTGAAAGGGGAGCTGTTGTTTTAGCACCTGATAATGCCAAGCTGTTTTATTGTTTTATCTTGCTCCTTTTGCACAATAAATCTTAAAAGTTTTATTCTCAGTGTACGTTTTAAGCCTTTAAGTGCATAAGGTGACGGCCGGCCACGTTTACGGCTTAGAAGGTAATTATTGTGGGGGAAACCTTATAGATGATTAATGAATTGTTTCATTCGATCATGTGACTCATGTGTGAGATGAAAACGGAGGGAAGTGTAGCGTACCTTTGGTCCGAACATTCCGAGAATCCCTGGGTACCCTGATTCACCTGTGTCACCCTGAGGAGAGGAGAGAGACGGAAACATCTTCATCATCATCATCACCACCATCATCACATATTCTAGTCATTACCATAAGTATATGGTCATTACGCATTACCAACCAAATAGCCTTTGAGATACAGATGCAAACATTGACAAACGACTTTGGTGACCAAGAATTTTCTATGTAGATGTCAAGAGAGAGTGAATAGGGCTACATAATGAGTAACTTCTTCTCTGACTCCGCACTATTGCTATGTTACTCACAGGCTGTCCTTTGGACCCCTGGTCACCTTGTTTCCCTGGCAACCCCATTCCACCAATGTGGCCTCTTTTCCCTGAAGGTCCAATTTGGCCTGGGAGACCCCTCTCACCCTGTGACACACACACATGGACAGAAACCAGTTTTAATGGAATAACAAGCAAAGTGCATCTTCCTTTTTCTTAACACCTTAAACAATGTCTAACATGATGGGTCTCTATAGTTCATTGCAGCACGTTCTCTCTTCTCTCTCACCTTCGGTCCGAAGGAGCCCTGATCGCCTGGAAGCCCTGGTACGCCTGTTTTACCGTGGTTTCCAGCTTTGCCGATAATGCCAAACTCTCCGTCGTCCCCTTGCTCCCCCTGAGGAGTAAACACACAGAGCTGATGATGACTGAAGCCTTACAGAAAACACCCTCTGGGCCTCGTTTCCCAGTTGCAACGTAACCTGAGCATTAAGATGCATCGTTATTTACGAGCCAACTTTTTAAGAGTGTTTCCCAAACAAGCACGTAGAGAGAACGTTCGCTCTAAGTGTTTCATTAGACCATGCTTTGATACTGATAGGATCGAAAGAAAAGGAGTGCTGCTCTCAGATGAGCCTTCTCCATTTAAATCTTACCAAAACATTAGAATTATTCCACAATACTGACGACGAATCAGCTCCTAGAGAGATATTACAACCTATGGCTGCAAATAGGCTATAGAAGCAGCTTATTATGCTTACTCAATAATAATGCACTACATCACAGATTGGGCACATCATTGCACACGTTGTCACACATCATGAAACACATTGAGGCAAAAATTACAGACAGTAGCATTGCATCAAAATACTACTCATGTCACGGTTTCGGCCGAGGCTGCTCCTCCTCCTTGTTCGGGCAGGCTTCGGCGGTCGTCGTCCCCGGAGTACTAGCTGCCACCGTTCGATGTTTTATGTTTGTTTGGTTTTGTCTGTTTGTACACCTGTCCCTTGTTAGTGTTTGATTTTGTTTCCTATTTAGTTATCGTGTGTTGGGGCAGGTGTTATGTGTGATTGTTATGTCAGCTGTTGCTGTTGATGGTTTTTCTCTCTCGTGTTGTTTGTGTCGAGAGTCCACACTGCGAGCGCCTTTTCTTGTTTTACGCACTGTTGTGTGTGTGCGTAATTTGTTCATGCCTCCCGGTTGGGTTGGCTATTCACCTGTTTGGAGTTACTATTTTGGATTACTAAAGTCTGTTGACGAACACCCTTGTTCCTGCGCTTGATTCCCTGCAACACATCCACACTCAGCGTTCTGACAGAATCACACATCACACCATGGAATCAGCAGGAGCAGCCCTCCCGCGGAGCCATGTGTATCCCTTGTCTCAAGAGGAGAGGAAGGCAATGGAAACTTACATCGCCGAGTCTCTGAGACAGGGATACATACGGGCCTCCACTTCACCCGCTTCCTCAAGCTTCTTTTTTGTGAAGAAAAAAGATGGAGGTCTGCGCCCGTGTATTGATTACCGCGGTCTCAATCAGATTACGGTGAAGTACAGCTATCCACTCCCTCTGATTGCGACTATGACGGAGTCATTACACGGTGCTCAGTTCTTCACAAAATTGGATCTCAGGAGCGCATATAACTTGGTGCGCATTAGAGAGGGCGATGAATGGAAGACAGCGTTTAGCACGACCTCCGGACATTACGAGTATCTCGTCATGCCATATGGGTTAATGAATGCTCCCTCAGTCTTCCAATCCTTCGTCGATGAGATTTTCCGGGACATGCAGGGACAGGGAGTAGTCGTGTACATAGACGATATTCTGGTGTACAGTTCTACCCGAGCAGAGCATGTAGCCCTGGTGCGCCGAGTGTTGAGGAGGCTGTTGGAGCATGACCTATATGTCAAGGCAGAGAAATGTCTGTTCTTTCAGAAGTCGGTCTCCTTTTTGGGTTATCAGTTGTCTGCGTCAGGGGTGAAGATGGAGGTTGACCGGGTGTCAGCTGTGCGTAATTGGCAAACCCCAACCACTGTGAAAGAGGTGCAACAGTTCTTGGGTTTTGCGAATTATTACCGGAGGTTTATCCGGGGTTTTGGACAGGTGGCAGCTCCCATAACGTCTCTGTTGAAGGGGGGTCCGGTGCGCTTGCGGTGGTCAGCTGAGGCGGACAGGGCTTTTGGGAAACTGAAGGACCTGTTTACCTCAGCGCCGGTGTTGGCGCATCCGGATCCCGCTTTACCTTTCCAGGTAGAGGTAGACGCGTCCGAGGCCGGTATTGGGGCCGTTCTCTCACAACGGTCTGGCACACCACCTAAACTCCGCCCCTGTGCTTTTTATTCTAAGAAGCTCAGTCCGGCGGAGCGGAATTATGACGTAGGGGACAGGGAGCTGTTAGCCGTGGTACAGGCCCTAAAGGTGTGGAGGCATTGGCTTGAGGGGGCTCAACACCCTTTCCTCATTCTAACTGACCACCGTAACCTGGAATACATCCGGGCAGCTAGGAGACTGAATCCTCGCCAGGCCCGCTGGACTATGTTTCTAGCCCGGTTTGTGTTTAAAATCACTTACATCCCTGGGTCCCAGAACGGGAAGGCAGATGCCCTGTCTCGGCGGTATGACACGGAGGAGAAGTCCGTTGAGCCCACTCCCATACTACCAAAGTCTTGTCTGGTTGCACCGGTGGTATGGGAGGTCGATGCCGAGATCGAGCGGGCGTTACGCACCGACCCAAGTCCTCCACAGTGTCCAGTGGGTCGGACGTACGTTCCGCTCGAGGTACGCGATCGCCTCATTTATTGGGCTCATACGTCCCCCTCCTCTGGACATCCAGGTATCGGCCGGACAGTTCACTGCCTTAGCACTAAGTACTGGTGGCCAACGTTAGCCAGGGATGTGAGGATTTATGTCTCCTCCTGTTCGGTGTGTGCCCAGTGTAAGGCGCCCAGACATTTGCCCAGGGGTAAGCTACAACCCCTGCCCGTTCCACAACGACCCTGGTCCCACCTCTCGGTGGATTTTGTTACAGACCTTCCCCCCTCACAGGGGAATACTACCATCCTGGTCGTTGTGGATCGGTTCTCGAAGGCCTGTCGTCTCCTTCCCATGCCGGGTCTACCTACTGCCCTACAGGCCGCTGAGGCTCTGTTTACCCATGTCTTCCGGCATTACGGGGTACCCGAGGATATAGTGTCTGATCGAGGCCCCCAGTTCACCTCCAGAGTGTGTAGAGCGTTTATGGAACGGTTGGGGGTTTCGGTGAGCCTTACCTCGGGTTACCACCCGGAGAGTAATGGGCAGGTTGAACGTGTTAACCAGAATGTGGGTAGGTTTCTGAGGTCTTATTGCCAGGGCCGGCCGGAGGAGTGGGCGAGATACGTTCCTTGGGCCGAGATGGCACAGAACTCTCTCCGCCACTCCTCCACCCAACTAACCCCTTTCCAGTGTGTGTTAGGGTACCAGCCGGTTCTGGCACCTTGGCACGAGAGCCAGATCGAGGCCCCTGCGGTGGATGAGTGGGTGCGGCGCTCGGAGGAGACATGGAACGCTGCCCACGTTCATCTGCAGCGGGCCATCCGTCGGCATAAGACGAGCGCCGATCTCCACCGCAGTGAGGGGCCTGTGTACGCACCTGGAGATCGAGTCTGGCTCTCGACCAGAAACCTGCCCCTCCGCCTGCCCTGCCGGAAGCTGGGTCGGCGGTTTGTGGGGCCATTCAAAGTCCTGAGGAGGTTGAACGAGGTGTGTTACAGGTTAGAACTGCCTATTGATTACAGGAATATTAACCCCTCGTTCCATGTGTCTCTCCTCAGGCCGGTGGTAGCTGGTCCACTCCAGGACTATGAGATAGAAGAGACTCCTCCGCCCCCGTTGGACATCGAGGGGGCTCCGGCGTACACTGTGAGGTCCATCCTTGATTCGAGACGCCGGATGGGGGGTCTCCAATATCTCGTGGAGTGGGAGGGGTACGGCCCGGAGGAGCGGTGCTGGGTGCCGAGGAGGGACATATTAGACCAGTCCCTGCTGACCGAGTTCCATCGGGGTCATCCTACGCGCCCTGCTCCGCGTCGTCCTGGTCGTCCCCGAGGCCGGGATCGGCGCACGGCTGGAGCCGCGCGTCAAGGGGCGGGTACTGTCACGGTTTCGGCCGAGGCTGCTCCTCCTCCTTGTTCGGGCAGGCTTCGGCGGTCGTCGTCCCCGGAGTACTAGCTGCCACCGTTCGATGTTTCATGTTTGTTTGGTTTTGTCTGTTTGTACACCTGTCCCTTGTTAGTGTTTGATTTTGTTTCCTATTTAGTTATCGTGTGTTGGGGCAGGTGTTATGTGTGATTGTTATGTCAGCTGTTGCTGTTGATGGTTTTTCTCTTTCGTGTTGTTTGTGTCGAGAGTCCGCACTGCGTGCGCCTTTTCTTGTTTTACGCACTGTTGTGTGTGTGCGTAATTTGTTCATGCCTCCCGGTTGGGTTGGCTATTCACCTGTTTGGAGTTACTATTTTGGATTAATGTCACGCCCTGGCTCGGGGGACTCTCGTATGTTGAGCCAGGGTGTTAGTTTCTATGTTTTGTGTTGTGGGTCTAGTTTACTTATTTCTATGTTGGCCTGAGTGACTCCCAATCAGAGGCAACGAGTGTCAGCTGTCAGCTGGTTGTCTCTGATTGGGAGCCATATTTAAACTGTCGGTTTTTCCTTTGGTTTTGTGGGTTCTTGTTTCAAGTTGGTTTAGTTTGACCGTGAACTGTCACGTTACCGTCTTTGTTGTTTTGATCGTGTTTTCGCTCAATAAAGAGTATGTTTGCCTGCAACGCTGCGCCTTGGTCCTCATCTCTGGTCGACGATCGTGACAGAAGAAACCACCAAGACCAGACCAAGCAGCGTGGCCAGGAGTTATCGCTATCAGATCTCCGTGGCAGTCTCGACTGGGTCAAGCCGAGTGAGGAGCAGAAAGAGTGGACTTGGGAACAATGGAGGAAGAGCCTCGACTGGGTCAAGCCCATTGAGGAGCTGAATAGCGGGAGGTGGAAGCAGAGGAGCGAGAGTTGGGCGAGAATTATAGAGGCCTGGCCCACGGGGAGTAGAGAACCCCAGAAAAATTTTAGGGGGGGGCTCACGACGTGGACGACGGGGCAGCAGGAGGCCGCGATGGAGCGGTCCAGCGGGTGTGCAGAGAAGGCCGCCAGGTTAAGGGGGCCACTGGTCACAGAGGAGAGGGAAAGTGTGGAGGCACGGCGAGAGGTACTGGGGTGTGTTACCAGTCCGGTCCGGCCCGTTCTTGATCCCTGCGTAGGGCCAGTGGTGTGTGTCCCCAGTACGGTCCGGCCTGTTCCTGTTCCTCGCATCGAGCCTGTGGTGCGTGTCGTCAGCCCGGCCCGGCCTGTTCCTGCTCCCCGCACCGAGCCTGTGGTGCGCGTCGCCAGCCCGGCCCGGCCTGTTCCTGCTCCCCGCACCAAGTCTGTGGTGCGTTTCGTCAGCCCTGTCCGGCTCGTTCCTGCTCTCCGCACCAAGTCTGTGGTGAGCGTCGCCAGCCCAGTCCGGCCCATTCCTGCTCCCCGCACCAAGTCTGTGGTGCGTTTCGTCAGCCCTGTCCGGCCCGTTCCTGCCCCTCACACCAAGCCTACGGTGTGCGTCGCCAGCCCAGCCCGGCCTGTCCCTGCTCCACGCACTAAGCCTACGGTGTGCGTCGCCAGCCCAGCCCGGCCTGTTCCTGCTCCACGCACCAAGCCTACGGGGTGCGTCGCCAGCCCAGCCAGGCCTGTCCCTGCTCCACGCACCAAGCCTACGGGGTGCGTCGCCAGCCCAGCCCGGCCTGTCCCTGCTCCACGCACCAAGCCTTCGGGGTGCGTCGTCAGTCCAGCACGGCCCGTGCCTGTTCCCCACACCAAGCCAGTGGTGTGCGTCGTCGGTCCGGCACGGCACGTGCCTGTTCCACTGGTGCCTGGTCCGGCGCTGGTCAGATGCGTTACGCCGGAGCTAGAGCAATCCGCTCCACCAGTGTGCAGTCCAGCTCCGGTCAGCAGGGCCAGACCGGACCAGGGGTACTTTGGGGGGTTAGAGAGCGAGTGGGGATCATGCCCGGAGCCGGATCCGCCGCCTAGGCGGAGTGCCCACCCGGTCCCTCCCCTGTTGTGTTTCGTTGGCGCGGTCGGAGTCCGCGCCTTTAGGGGGGGGTACTGTCACGCCCTGGCTCGGGGGACTCTCGTATGTTGAGCCAGGGTGTTAGTTTCTATGTTTTGTGTTGTGGGTCTAGTTTACTTATTTCTATGTTGGCCTGAGTGACTCCCAATCAGAGGCAACGAGTGTCAGCTGTCAGCTGGTTGTCTCTGATTGGGAGCCATATTTAAACTGTCGGTTTTTCCTTTGGTTTTGTGGGTTCTTGTTTCAAGTTGGTTTAGTTTGACCGTGAACTGTCACGTTACCGTCTTTGTTGTTTTGATCGTGTTTTCGCTCAATAAAGAGTATGTTTGCCTGCAACGCTGCGCCTTGGTCCTCATCTGTTCCTGACGATCGTGACAATTACTAAAGTCTGTTGACGAACACCCTTGTTCCTGCGCTTGATTCCCTGCACCACATCCACACTCAGCGTTCTGACAACTCAATTGATTTAAATATGATTGAAATAGCCTATATAGGCCCATGTAGCCTTGAACCACTACCTGGGCTTGACTAGACGAGATCCTTCAATTCAGTCCCATTAACCAGCTCTGCAAACGTTATAATGTCAAAATACAAATCGGTACTCACCAAAATATGGAGTTTCACAGATCAACTATCATCATTAATGCCATTATGCACAGTATGTACTTCCAAAAACGGTCTAAATAAAAATGATCTATTGTTTTTTACCAAGTACGCTTGCGCCAAATCCACCTTCAGCACCTCCAATAAAATCACTAATTACTGCCATGCACATGTCGGCTGGTCCAGCAGCAGTACAGTATCCCGAAAGATAATTTATTTTATTTTTATTTAAACCTTTTTTGGAAGTACATACCGTGCATAACGGCAGTAATGACGATAGTTGCACTGCGAAACTCCATTTTTTGGTGAGTACCGAAAGTCTTTTGATGTTATAACATCTGCAGAGCTGGTTAATGGGACTTTGAATTGAAGGATCCTGGGCGTCAGAGGAGATCGCATCTCCTCAATCCCAGGTACTGGTTCATTGTAGCCTATGTATCTATTAATGCAGTCATCTCGGTTTTCATTTGAAGCATCATTTTATCCTTCACTTGTTTGTAACAATTGCAAATACTTTGGCAACTTTGTATTTGTAGTCAACTTCGTTCTGAAGTTATCAGCAGTCACAGTCAGACAGATAGCTTAAATATCTTGATTCTATGTTCAGTGGAGATCTTCTGTGAATAAAGTGACGCAGAAGGGGGAAAAAAGCGTCTAACGATGCACTGTGGCTGCTCTATGAGTGTTCTGGATCACTGGTAGATGTGCAATGGTTTTTAAGAGCCACGTTACTAACGAAGGCTCTGGGAAACACCTTGGCTACTAAAGATACATCGTAAGAAGGTTCTAACGATGATCTTAACGCTGCGAAGGCTCTGGGAAACAAGGCCCTGGTCATTTCAGTCAGTGAGGAGAACTCACAGATTGGTCTGTTCTTACCTTTACTCCTTTGTCTCCGTCTTTCCCAGGAGGGCCGTCCATTCCAGGCTGGCCCTCAAGGCCCTCTCTGCCCACAACTCCCTTTGGGCCAGGAGGCCCCTCTGGACCCTAGGAAATACACAGAAATAAACATATATACTGTATCATAACCTGCATTCTAGTACATTCAATCAATGAATCAATCAATTAAATTAGGTACATGTTGCATTCTAGTACATTCAATCAATGAATCAATCAATTAAATTAGGTACATGTTCCATTAAGTGCTTTACAAACTAGGTGTCCCACTTACCGGTGGTCCTTTGGTCCCAGATTCACCTCGCTTCCCCCATTTGCCTTTCTGACCCTGGAGTAGATCAGAGTAAACAGTCAACAAACAACTGTGACATGATGTCATCATACCTTAGGTTAAATCAATCACACTGTGTCATATTGGTATAACAGTGGTTCAAACAGGTGTTGTGATGTAAAATGATCAGGTGTTATGGTATACAATGACACTGGATACTACAGTTTTGTTGTTACTTGTCAAGGTCTGTTGTCCTTACTTGATCACCTTTGGATCCTTTCGGCCCCTGTATTCCCCTTTGCCCAGGATGTCCCTACAATAGGAATGCATACATGATAAATAGCTGGATACTGTATTATGTGGATACTGTCAGTGTAAGTAATCACATATTAGCAAGTCATAAACATAACCATTGGCTCACAGGTAGTCCAGTTGCTCCAGCCTTGCCTCTTTCTCCGTCCACTCCTGGCTGGCCCTGAGAGGTAGACGTGTGTTAACATTTCCACGCATGAAGCAAGAGTTTATTCAAGTAAAGTTACTTTCTTACTAGGTTGGTTATTACCCCTGTTTTATACAGTATATCCTGGCCAATGAAAGAATTATGTCATACGACTTCCCACTCACTAAGTATCCGGGGTCACCTGGTTCTCCTCGGTCTCCCCTGTCTCCAGTAGGACCCTGGTTTCAGATGAGAAACATACACAATGAAGCATATAGATCCCTAGCTACAGTAGTACACCAACACCAAACACTGCTGTAGGCGGAGGGATACATGATGTGAGGAACTCACTCTGTCACCTTGTGGACCAGGAGGGCCTTCCACCTTACTGTCTTCCCCCTGTTCACCCTGGAAAGAATTATACAGGAAAACAAATGTACGTTTTTATGCATTTTATGTATGATCATTGCTGCAAAACCAATTTGCCTCCAGGATAATACATTTAAACTTGAAACTTGAACTTGAGACTGTGTGAGGTGAAATTATGTGAAATGTCATTACATTCCAAAACATTGGAGTATTCTAATAAATTGAGGGCTTTTGTTGATGGCAATAGGTCGCTTCCAATTAAATTTAATCTAGATTGCATTAAACGTTCCAGTGACTTTACAGGGACTGATGACTGATGTGGGATGCTTGTAGTGTTTCATAGTGCATGTGCTGTTTATATGCTTGGTGATATAGAAGAGGAAACAGGGGAGAAGGGATCCAAAACTAAACTATTTATGAGCAGTGGCACAATTTGGGTCTCATTAGAAAGTAAGCAAGGTTGTCAAATGTCATTATGAGTTGATCATTATCGGTAAACAGGAAACTGCTTAATATCGAAGTCCTATTTATCACAATTGAACCATGATTAATCTCCTGAATAATGATGACAAGGAGTATTCAAAAGCAGTTGAAAGCAGTTTGTGGCCAATGATCTACGTTTGATAGCATTTCCCCTGAGTTAATGAGATGTGCCTTGGTGCATGCCATCAATCAATTATATTTGATCACTTCTTGCAGGATTATAAAACTAGAACAGCAACACAGGCAGTGAGATTGACTCTCTCAGTGTATGCACACATGCAGCTATTACCAATGGGTAGGGCTAGGAGTTTTTCCTGACCACCTGACCTGACCAGGAGAAACTCTGGGCCCTAATGTTTTGTACCTACGTAGTCAGGAAAGACTAGCCCTACCAATTTGTTATAACGAGATATGTGGGACATAATGTGGATTGACCATAGGACAGACAGTCAAAAGAACGGACAGTGTTGGGTCAGTCATCACTAGACCTAAACCTTCACAGGCCATGAGTCCAGACCCACTTGGATGGTACAATTTGAGAGAGCTATTAGAAACAGACAGGACTGTGGGAAGTGTACCTTTTCACCTTTTGGTCCAGGAGGTCCCAGCGGGCCCTGTCGTCCTGTGTGGCCCTAAAATAACAGAAGACAATAGAGAGTGTAATTCATCACACAGCACAACTCAACACTTTTGACTTAGTTTGGGCAACCTATTGTGCAAAATATCACAGATAGCAATGCTCTCCATTTATCAATCATCTGACTATCTTTAGTTTTTTTCTAGATTCTACAAAAATATTGAGTCAAAGACACCTATTTCAATGCTATAAGCATAATTCTTACCTCGTATCCTGTCATGCCTGGTTCGCCTTGTTGGCCCATTCTACCCGGGGCGCCCTGTGAACATCAGATGATCAGTCTTAGTGACCTACAGCACTAAGAAACCTTCACATCAGAGTCAGATCTGTACAAGAGCCTTACCACTGGTCCAATGGTTCCTCTCGATCCTTTCGGCCCGACGAATCCTGCCTCTCCTTGTTTACCGATTGGCCCAGTCTCTCCCAGGTGACCCATATGACCCTTGCTGCCCTGGAGAAGGGTCGCCATAGAACAGGCATGCAAAATGAGCAAGGTCACCTTTCAGTCACTGAGAAGTGGTGTGTGGATAGTTTTACTATGTCAACTGTCCATTTTAATCTGCCCATTGGCTGAGCACCTTAATCATAGTGTGGTGGCTAGGAAGGACATTGACCTTTATGTCTGTTGACCACAATTACAAGCAGTCATCAAACTTTCTTTACAAACCAAGACAGATATGGTAAAACAACTAACAGGTTTCAGTGAATTAAATGAATGAGTGTGACAGATGGAGGCCTATTAATTAACTGCAGGAACTGAGCTGACATACAATACATACCTTCTCCCCTGGTTTTCCTCTTTCACCAAACTTGCCAGGTTTACCCTCCTGACCCTGGAAGACATGAGTCAACAAACATTTACTTGAACTGCAATAAACATATAATAACAAATGACGAAGACAAGGCAATGGTCAGAACATTGTCATAAGCAGTTTGTTTTCTACTCAAAAATAATAATACAAAGTTTGTTGGAGAGACAAATTAGTGTTATGAATCCTATTTGGCACATAGTAGCCTACATTATTCATCCAACAACCAGTAAAGTGAGTTAAGTCATCAGTCTGACTTACGTGAACCTGGGAGTCAAGTACAGGAAATGTAAGGTTATATTTAGGAACGTAATAATCGTACGTTTGGACACTCACCCTCAAGCCCACTAAGCCAGGAGGTCCAGGAGACCCTTCCTTTCCTTTCAGTCCGATCTCACCCCTCTCTCCTTTACCCCCCTCAGGTCCCATGTCACCCTTCTCGCCCTGAGCACAGAACCATAGGGAAGATACACTCAGACATGACCAGATACAATACTTCACTGGTGTAGATCTTGGTGGTAGTAACAAATATTCAAATAAGAACTTTGAAGGCCGACGTGGAGAAGTGTTCCATGTGAACAGCAGTTGAATATGGGACAGACTTGCATCTGTGAGTTTTAAGGCATTAATCCACTGCACTAATAGTAGAGTTGTCCTGCATCATTTGACTGACAATTGGTAATATGTCGATTGCTGTAGAGAGGATGATGATGCGCTTGTGTGCGAGCGAACACAACACTTACTATCCAGCAGCTTAGCTCAGATGGATATGAAAGCTCCTTGTGCTTACTCTGAATCACCACTGTATTTCTATCACAACTCCTTCCAGACGGAAGAGCTCAAAATAGGCCAGCTGCCTATTTATTTTCACTCAGTGTCAACAGCATACAGTACATATACAGTACTTGAGTCTGACTGAAAATAATTGTAATTCCAGCTAAGTGTACAGTACAGTTCATTAGCTTCATATGAATATAGCTTTGATGAACTGATAAAGGTTAGAATCGCCTTCTCTTGTGAATGGCTGATTGAAATAGTGAACGTTATCATAAAAACACCCTCTTCTGATTTACAAATCAGTGGCTATCACACGGCTGAATCCTACCTGGATACAGCCGTGTGGTAGGGTGTAACTCTAACTGGCACCTAAATTGTCCACTGATGTCAAAGTTTACACAGGCAGCCCAATTCAGATCTTTTGCCAATTATTTGCATATCTGATACCTATCTGATATTTTCCAGAAGGTGTAAACAGCAACAACAAAAAAACATGGAATCTGATCTTTTGACTTCCGATTTACACTACCGGTCAAAAGTTCTAGAACACCTACTCATTCAAGGGTTTTTCTTTATTTTTACTATTTTCTACATTGTAGAATAATAGTGAAGACATCAAAACTATGAAATAACACATATGGAAACATGTAGTAACCAAATAAGTGTTAAACAAATCTAAATATATTTTATATTTGAGATACTTCAAATAGCCACCCTTTGCCTAGATGATAGCTTTGCACACTCTTGGCATTCTCTCATCCAGCTTCACCTGGAATGCTTTTCCAACAGTCTTGAAGGAGTTCCCCCATATGCTGAGCACTTGTTGGCTGCTTTTTCTTCACTCTGCGGTCCGACTCATCCCAAACCATCTCAATTGGGTTGAGCCCTGATTATGGAGGCAAGTTCATCTGATGCAGCACTCCATCACTCTCCTTCTTGGTAAAATAGCCCATACACAGCCTGGAGGTGTGTTGGGTCATTGTCCTGTTGAAAAACTAATGATAGTCCCACCAGATGGGATGGCGTATCGCTGCAGAATGCTGTGGTAGCCATGCTGGTTAAGTGTGAATTCTAAATAAATCACAGACAGTGTCACCAGTAAAGCACCCCCACACCATAACACCTCTTCCTTCATGCTTTACGGTGGGAAATACACATGCGGAGATCATCCGTTCACCCACACCGCGTCTCACAAAGACACAACGGTTGTAACCAAAAATCTCCAACTTGGACTCCAGACCAAAGGACAAATTTCCACCGGTCTAATGTCCATTGCTCGTGTTTCTTGGCCCAAGCAAGTCTCTTCTTCTCATTGGTGTCCTTTAGTAGTGGTTTCTTTGCAGCAATTCGACCATGAAGGCCTGATTCACACAGTCCCCTCTGAACAGCTGATGTTGAGATGTGTCTGTGACTTGAACTCTGTGAAGCATTTATTTGGGCTGCAATTTCTGAGGCTGGTAACTCTAATGAACTTATCCTCTGCAGCAGAGGTAACTCTGGGTCTTCCATTCCTGTGGCGGTCCTCATGAGAGCCAGTTTCATCATAGCGCTTGATGGTTTTTGCGACTGCACTTAAAGAAAATGTCAAAGTGCTTGAAATGTTCCGTATTGACTGACCTTCATGTCTTAAAGTAATGATGGACTGTTGTTTCTCTTTGCTTATTTGAGCTGTTCTTGCCATAATATGGACTTGGTGTTTTACCAAATAGGGCTATCTTCTGTATACCCCCCCACCTTGTCACAACACAACTGATTGGCTCAAACGCATTAAGAAGGAACTTTTAAGAAGGCACACCCGTTAATTGAAATGCATTCCAGGTGACTACCTCATGAAGCTGGTTGAGAGAATGCCAAGAGTGTGCAAAGCTGTCATCAAGGCAAAGGGTGGCTATTTGAAGACTCTCAAATATAAAATATATTTTGATTTGTTTAACACTTTTTTGGTTACGACATGATTCAATATGTGTTATTTCATAGTTTTGATGTCTTCGCTATTATTCTACAATGTAGAAAATAATAAAAATTAAGAAAAACCTTTGAATGAGTAGGTGTTCTAAAACATTTGACCGGTAGTGTATATCACCTCCATATGTGAATCTGAATCCTGATACAAACCCAATCCTCCATATGTGACCTCTGTCTGGATGCTCAGATCAGATTTTTTTTCCACATGCCCTGCTGTTACCATGACAACCACCCCAAAATGTAAAGGAACAGTGACAGGAAATGAGCATTGCATGTGTGTGCCATTTTGGAGGCTACATCAGTATGAATGCGCAAAACTGATATGAGTCACATGTAAAACTGAGTGTGGACAGTCAGACATTATTTGGGGATATAGAAAGAAAATCAGATTTGGGTTCTTAGGGTAAAGAGACAATGACTGTCAACTCTTGGCCAATACTTTCAACTCAAGTTAGGATCCATCACAAGGACTATTACCATAGTGTTATCTCTTACCTTGGGTCCATCAGGTCCACTTTGACCAGCCTCCCCATCGATCCCCATCTCACCCTGAAGGAGAGGAGGGTTCAAGTACAAGTTAATAAGGTCAAAGTTACTACTAGAAGAATCAACATGGGTACAAGTGAACTTTGGGGTACCCACCCTCTGTCCGATGAAGCCCTGCTCTCCGAGGTTTCCTGCTGGTCCAAGGGCACCCTGTCACACAGATAAACAACACACTAAACACATGGACACTTAACACAGGTCAATACTACACTAAACACATGGATTGTGTGGCCTATGGTTATGTATACAGTAGATTGATAGACAGACTATTACTGGTTCTGTAAGTTATGTCATTGGAAGTGAGATGTTGAGTGACCCTTGATAGAAGTGTTGTTGAATACATCAACTATTTTGCTGAGCAGTTGAGGGTATTATCTTACCTTCTCTCCTGGTTCTCCTGGCAATCCCCACTCCCCAACCTTTCCAGGGGGACCCTGTCATAGAAAAATCACCATTGACAATCAAATTAGACGGATAGGCATTGGTCACTGGAGCCTGAACACTATGTGAATGGCACACTACACAAGCAATTACAAATACCTATAGAAGCCACAATACTACCGTTTGGCATGTTTATGTAGTGGTGAAACTTACCTTGAGGCCCATCTCTCCCAGTGGACCCATTGTTCCTGGTGGCCCAGTTGGTCCCTAGGATGATAAGACAGAGGCAGTGTAGTGATGACTAAACACAAAAATACATAGGCCTATGCAGCCCTTATATCATAGTAACTACACTTGAATAACTAAGTACATTGTGGCTAAAAACTACACTAGAACAACTAAGTACATTGCAGATAATAAGCAAATGGGAAAAAGGGAAAACAGCGAGGATAGAAATGTGAAAAAGACGTTGAGGATAAAACATGGAGTGTTGGAGATAAATTCATCTAGGCTTGAGATCCAGATCATTTCCCACTGCTGGAGACTTAGAACAAATAGCCAAAGCTTCTGTAGGTTATGTGGTGGAAACAACCCAATGTTCACATACAGTGGGGAAAAAAAGTATTTAGTCAGCCACCAATTGTGCAAGTTCTCCCACTTAAAAAGATGAGAGAGGCCTGTAATTTTCATCATAGGTACACGTCAACTATGACAGACAAATTGAGAATTTTTTTTCCAGAAAATCACATTGTAGAATTTGTAATGAATTTAATTTGCAAATTATGGTGGAAAATAAGTATTTGGTCACCTACAAACAAGCAAGATTTCTGGCTCTCACAGACCTGTAACTTCTTCTTTAAGAGGCTCCTCTGTCCTCCACTCGTTACCTGTATTAATGGCACCTGTTTGAACTTGTTATCAGTATAAAAGACACCTGTCCACAACCTCAAACAGTCACACTCCAAACTCCACTATGGCCAAGACCAAAGAGCTGTCAAAGGACACCAGAAACAAAATTGTAGACCTGCACCAGGCTGGGAAGACTGAATCTGCAATAGGTAAGCAGCTTGGTTTGAAGAAATCAACTGTGGGAGCAATTATTAGGAAATGGAAGACATACAAGACCCCTGATAATCTCCCTCGATCTGGGGCTCCACGCAAGATCTCACCCCGTGGGGTCAAAATGATCACAAGAACGGTGAGCAAAAATCCCAGAACCACACGGGGGGACTTAGTGAATGACCTGCAGAGAGCTGGGACCAAAGTAACAAAGCCTACCATCAGTAACACACTACGCCGCCAGGGTCTCAAATCCTGCAGTGCCAGACGTGTCCCCCTGCTTAAGCCAGTACATATCCAGGCCTATCTGAAGTTTGCTAGAGTGCATTTGGATGATCCAGAAGAGGATTGGGAGAATGTCATATGGTCAGATGAAACCAAAATATAACTTTTTGGTAAAAACTCAACTCGTCATGTTTGGAGGACAAAGAATGCTGAGTTGCATCCAAAGAACACCATACCTACTGTGAAGCATGGGGGTGGAAACATAATGCTTTGGGGCTGTTTTTCTACAAAGGGACCAGGACGACTGATCCGTGTAAAGGAAAGAATGAATGGGGCCATGTATCGTGAGATTTTGAGTGAAAACCTCCTTCCATCAGCAAGGGCATTGAAGATGAAACGTGGCTGGGTCTTTCAGCATGACAATGATCCCAAACACACCGCCCGGGCAACGAAGGAGTGGCTTCGTAAGAAGCATTTCAAGGTCCTGGAGTGGCCTAGCCAGTCTCCAGATCTCAACCCCATAGAAAATCTTTGGAGGGAGTTGAAAGTCTGTGTTGCCCAGCGACAGCCCCAAAACATCACTGCTCTAGAGGAGATCTGCATGGAGGAATGGGCCAAAATACCAGCAACAGTGTGTGAAAACCTTGTGAAGACTTACAGAAAACATTTGACCTGTGTCATTGCCAACAAAGGGTATATAACAAAGTATTGAGAAACTTTTGTTATTGACCAAATACTTATTTTCCACCATAATTTGCAAATAAATTCATTAAAAATCCTACAATGTGATTTTCTGGATTTTTTTTCCTAATTTTGTCTGTCATAGTTGACGTGTACCTATGATGAAAATTACAGGCCTCTCTCATCTTTTTAAGTGGGAGAACTTGCACAATTGGTGGCTGACTAAATACTTTTTTCCCCCACTGTAGAGCTGCCTCTCTGCCTCTGCAGGAAGCTCAGAGTAAATCATATAATTCTCTCTAGTAGAGAAAAACCCAAGGAAGGGTATTTGTATGGAGACAATACAGTAAACAAAGTTAGGGGAAGTAATGAAATCAAAGACAGCTTCCTGGCTTGAAGGTGAAATATAATGCAAACCTGATGTGACATTAAGTGTTGAGCTCTGTAGGAATTTAAACACAGGATATAACTCCCATATCCCTGGCTGGGCCGTAGACACTTAGGACTGAAAAGGATTTGGGAGATAAAGCCTCAAAATATTTAGACATAAAAGGACTTACCAGCTCTCCTGCTATTCCTTTGGCACCTGGAGGTCCTGAGAGTCCTTGGCGACCCTGAAAGAATGTAAACCAGTTGTTATGAATGCAGATAGCTAAATGCTAAGGGCACAGGAAGACAGTCCATTTCCACTATACACATCCCACCCGTAGGCTAGTTGGTCTCGTAACACCCAGACATTAAGGCCACTCTCAAATTCATTTACAGCTTTAATGTACTAAGTGCTACTCACAAGCCTCTCTTTTCCCATAGCTAATGGTTGTCCCCAAAACCATAGCAACTCTCAACTTCATATATATATATATATATATACATTTCTCCATATTTTACCAGGTAAGTTGACTGAGAACATATTCTCATTTACAGCAACGACCTGGGGAATAGTTATACAACTGCATGCCGTACGTGCTACACACAAGCCTCTCTTTTTCCATTGCTAATGGTTGCCCCTCCAACCTGTGTCCACCCTAAGGGCATGACTAACCTAAAAGAGCACTCTGTTAGCCCCAATCACTTACTGGAAATCCTTTAGACCCAGCTTCCCCAGGCTCCCCAATCTTTCCCTGGAGCAAAAATAATATGGAGAGAAATAAGGGTTGAAATTAATAACAAGCAAATAATATGGTCATTAAGCAGAAACATTATGGTTGTTTAGCAGACACATTTATCCAAAGTGACGCACATTCAATTCATGTATTTAGTATGTGTGAATATCCCATACGTCACACTCTAACTAAATGAGCCATTGGGCCATTGGAACCTCGAATGAAAATGTGTTAACAAGTTGAACATATGATATGAATGGGCTCTCATAACTCATAGTCCTACATTATTCATTACCAGCCAGGAAATGATGTGATCACTAAATGAGGGGTAAAGCATGCAAAGTAAACACACAAAGTAAGGTAGGAAAGCCTATACCCAAAGGCCCACGAGTTGGACATAGCCATGACTGGGAACAGGGGAGTGGGAGGGTATGAGCAAAAACTGTTATTAAAAACATGGTGATCTTGAAATTGCCTGTACGTACCATCTCCCCTGGGAAGCCTAGTTTTCCTGGTGGACCATCAGTACCCTGTAAGAAAACACGTGTCAATCTCACTAACAGCTTCACACACTGTACACCCAAGAGCTCTTGTCTTAGATTCCCCCTTGTGTAATAATTCTACTAACAGCTTCCAATTCCTCTAATTAAAAGTTTTCCAAAGTTGGCAAAGAAAATGTACCTAAAAGATAGTTGTGTCCCTAAAAGAAGAAAGTGTCCCTAAAAAGTGTCTTTAAGATGTTGAAAATAATCAAACTATTTAAAAACTTGTGAACAAAGCCAATTGAAAATGTTTTATATGGACATATTTAAGTATCAAATTAAGACACAAACCAATGCCGCATTGCAGTCCATAGGGCGGCAGGTAGCTTAGTGGTTAAGAGCGTTGTGCCAGTAACCGAAAGGTCGCTGGTTCTAATCCCTGAGCCGACTAGGTGAAAAACCTGTCGATGTGCCCTTGAGCAAGGCACTTAACCCTAATTGCTCCTGTAAGTCGCTCTGGATAAGAGCGTCTGCTAAATTACTAATTATTATAGCCACGTGAAGTAGGGGTGCTAAAGGTACTGCAGCACCCCCTGATAAATTGAAATAATTTTGTAAAAATTATACTGTATAATTACTCCTGTCTGAAAACTCACTGAATTTGGTCAGCACGCGCACCAAATATCAAACAGCATGTTGCATTGTAGCCATAGAAATATAATCCATAGAAGGGTTTTGGCTCACCCTGGCAATTTGACTGGTAAACTCATTGGTACACTCAAAATGGCTGCCAGTCCTGACTTGAATGGGCGCTTTCATTCTATGGATTCTATTTCTATGGATTCTATTTCTCTTCACGCTTTCAGTGAATAGCAGTAGGCCTTTCACAAATTTCTAAATACAATCACGGGAAAGCAAATGCCAACTGCTGAAAAGAGAAGACTAATCTGTCAGTCGAAGCTACCATTTTCTTTCTCAACAACTCGGACGAACAGCACTGTTTTTAAAAGTCTTGAGACCATCACCAGTCAGAAGCCTACGCTACGCATATTCATGCTATCTTCATCATTGGGTGAGTCAGTGCCTCTGGAAAGTTGATTTAGTAGCCAACAGTAGCCTATATTATACAGTATATTTCCTCCTAATATTGTACAATCTGTGTGTCTCCCTTTTTTCAATAGCCCTGGGTCAGGTCAAGACTAGTTAATTTTTATTGATCTGTTTGACAGTGTTGGAGTAGCCACTCATTTCGGTCATTTGTGTAGTGTTCAAAAATATTCTGATAATGTCTCTTGTCACATACAATGAGGGAAAAAAGTATTTGATCCCCTGCTGATTTTGTACGTTTGCCCACTGACAAAGAAATGATCAGTCTATAATTTTAATGGTAGGTTTATTTGAACAGTGAGAGACAGAATAACAACATAAAAATCCAGAAAAACGCATATCAAAAATGTTATAAATTGATTAGCATTTTAATGAGGAAAATAAGTATTTGACCCCCTCTCAATCAGAAAGATTTCTGGCTCCCAGGTGTCTTTTATACAGGTAACGAGCTGAGATTAAGAACACACTCTTAAAGGGAGTGCTCCTAATCTCAGTTTGTTACCTGTATAAAAGACACCTGTCCACAGAAGCAATCAATCAATCAGATTCCAAACTCTCCACCATGGCCAAGACCAAAGAGCTCTCCAAGGATGTCAGGGACAAGAATGTAGACCTACACAAGGCTGGAATGGGCTACAAGACCATCGCCAAGCAGCTTGGTGAGAAGGTGACAACAGTTGGTGCGAATATTCGCAAATGGAAGAAACACAAAATAACTGTCAATCTCCCTCGGCCTTGGGGTCCATGCAAGATCTCACCTCGTGGAGTTGCAATGATCATGAGAACGGTGAGGAATCAGCCCAGAACTACACGGGAGGATCTTGTCAATGATCTCAAGGCAGCTGGGACCATAGTCACCAAGAAAACAATTGGTAACACACTACGCCGTGAAGGACTGAAATCCTGCAGCGCCCGCAAGGTCCCCCTGCTCAAGAAAGCACATATACAGGGCCGTCTGAAGTGTTGTGGTCAGATGAGACCAAAATGGAGCTCTTTGGCATCAATTCAACTCGCCGTGTTTGGAGGAGGAGGAATGCTGCCTATGACCCCAAGAACACCATCCCCACCGTCAAACATGGAGGTGGAAACATTATGCTTTGGGGGTGTTTTTCTGCTAAGGGGACAGGACAACTTCACCGCATCACAGGGACGATGGACGGGGCCATGTACCGTCAAATCTTGGGTGAGAACCTCCTTCCCTCAGCCAGGGCATTGAAAATGGGTCGTGGATGGGTATTCCAGCATGACAATGACCCAAAACACACGGCCAAGGCAACAAAGGAGTGGCTCAAGAAGAAGCACATTAAGGTCCTGGAGTGGCCTAGCCAGTCTCCAGACCTTAATCCCATAGAAAATCTGTGGAGGGAGCTGAAGGTTCGAGTTGCCAAACGTCAGACTCGAAATCTTAATGACTTGGAGAAGATCTGCAAAGAGGAGTGGAACAAAATCCCTCCTGAGATGTGTGCAAACCTGGTGGCCAACTACAAGAAATGTCTGACCTCTGTGATTGCCAACAAGGGTTTTGCCACCAAGTACTAAGTCATGTTTTGCAGAGGGGTCAAATACTTATTTCCCTCATTAAAATGCAAATCAATTTATAACATTTTTGACATGCGTTTTTCTGGATTTATTTGTTGTTATTCTGTCTCTCACTGTTCAAATAAACCTACCATTAAAATTATAGACTGATCATGTCTTTGTCTGTGGGCAAACATACAAAATCAGCAGGGGATCAAATACTTTTTTCCCTCACTGTAGAATTGCATAATATGCGTTTATAAAGGCAACCCAACTCAAGACATCTTCACGCGGCTGTGGCAGTATCCATGTTTTTTCCATTGGCTGCGGCTAGTGTGTTCCGTAAAGGAATTACAAAGTCGCAGCATTCAGTAACTGAGGGAGTCAGGTCAGATGAAGTGGAGCTATGGAGCAGAAATACTATACTAATAGTGTAACCTTTGACATATGAACTTTGAACTTCATCCTCACCTTTCCTCCAACTGACCCCTTCTCCCCAGCTGGACCATCAGGACCCCTCGGACCCTGTAGGAGAGAGAAGGAGGGAGGGAGAGGGAGAGAGAAAGAGAGAGAGGGGGGAGGGAGAGAGAGGGGGGTGGCAAGAAACAAGATAGAGAGAGACAGAGTGAGAGAGAGAGATGAATTGACTAAATATGAAGTATCCTCTTCTCCATGAAGGGCTCTTCAGCCAGAAAGGCTTTACCAGCATGGGCTCTAACAAACGTTTAAATGTTCCCACTTAAATGTTCCCATCCTAATGGCAGTGTTAATTTGGGAAATTGCTTAAAAACACAAATCCGTGGTTACTGAGATGAAAGTTATTATTAGAGACAGAGGAAGGAGATGTGACTGTGGTTGGTTCAGTAAACGCTAGTGGTTTTCCCTATACAATGCACACTGATATCTATGTTCTTCTCCCATCTTTTTTCCATGACCAGCTATTGTATTCAACTGAACATTGGGAACAGTGTCACACAGAGAACCCATGACCTTTACAAGACTAGAGTCTTACTGCTGACTAATCCTGTCATGACCTTTCCATCTGACTGCTGACCAATCCTGCCATGACCTTTCCATTTGACCCTACCAATTAGATGTGAATGCCTATACGGCTCCATACTAGGATCACTGTGGAAAAACGTATAATATAATTGAACGGTTTCACAAATTCCTATCCATTTTGATAAAGAATTTAAGAAATGCTATCCATGTGCTTCAGGCATCTAGCATGAGTACATAGGAGATTAGATACTATTCTGAAACTTGGAAAAGTTGTTGGATGGATAACCACAGGGGAAATAGGAGGTCTAAGAGCCATATCCAACAGTGAATCGGGCTCAGAGTAGATAGTACTGCTAGGACAGCCCTGATATCCCCAGAGACATTTCAGCGATCTGATGAGGGTACTGTATTCCATGACACAGGAACAGACAAGAATGTGAATAGAGTCATTCAGTTTGCTGAGTTCTCCCATCTCTCTCTCTCTCTCCTCTCCCGGAGGACCTGAGCCCTCAGGACTACCTGGCCTGACGACGCCTGGCTGTCCCCATCCCCAGTCCACCTTCGTGCTGCGGCTATGGAATCCTAACCTTTTCACCGGTCGTGTTACCTTTTCCCGGACCTGCTGTTTCGACCCTCTCTCTCTCTCTCTCTCTCTCTCTCTCTCTCTCTCTCTCTCTCTCTCTCTCTCTCTCTCTCTCTCTCTCTCTCTCTCTCTCTCTCTCTCTCTCTCTCTCTCTCTCTCTCTCGCACACCTGCTGTCTCGACCTCTGAATGCTCGGCTATGAAAAGTAAACTGACATTTACTCCTGAGGTGCTGACCTGTTGCACCCTCTATAACCACTGTGATTATTATTTGACCCTGCTGGTCATGTATGAATATTTTAACACCTTGAAGAACGGTCTAGCCTTAATGGCCGTGTACTCTTATAATCTCCACCCAGCACAGCCAGAAGAGGACTGGCCACCCCTCAGAGCCTGATTCCTCTCTAGGTTTCTTCCTAGGTTTCTGCCCTTCTAGGGAATTTTTCCTAGCCACCGTGCTTCTACATCTGCATTGCTTGCTCTCTGGGATTTTATAAGCACTTCTGTATAAGCACTTCGTGACAACTGCTGATATAAATAGGGCTTTAAAAATACAATTGATTGATGGGAAATGGCCGGTCCTGTTTCTTTTGGAGCAGAGATGATCATGACGCTGACGATCCTTCCCTCACTACACTGGGCAATTCTCTCCACTAGCAGGGAATGCCATGATTCGTTCTGCATCGTATCTAGTCAACCAGACCATGTGTTACTGCTGGACTGTGTCCCTCGTTCATTTGCATCTCTGTGAATGCTACGGCTCTTGGTCTTAGAGACTGGATGTATGGTTGAGGTCAAAGATTCAAGGTGGCCAACATGTGCTTGGTAATTGCACACATAGGATTCAACTAAATGCATCCCTTGAGGATTGAAGTCATGAAGATAACTCACGCCAGAGGCGGTTAGAGTCAACGACAGAGCTGAATGTATAATCTACTTGTTCCTCTCTAACCTAATTTAAGCCTCACTGGCTTCGTCTGTTCAACCTCAACATACGCCAGTACACACACTTAACATAGGAGGACTTGGAGTGATGCTATAGAGTAAACAGTACTATCTGTTGTTGAAGAAGTGCTCTTACTATCCTTCTCTCAGACATAAACGGTATGTCTCATCTCTCTCCCTGCTGTGGTACTATCTGGCAGGGTCTGAGTCAGGGCAGATCTTTGTTGGTGGTACTTCCCTGCTCTATATAAGATATACAGTGGGGGGAAAAAGTATTTAGTCAGCCACCAATTGTGCAAGTTCTCCCACTTAAAAAGATGAGAGAGGCCTGTAATTTTCATCATAGGTACACGTCAACTATGACAGACAAATTGAGAAGAAAAAAATCCAGAAAATCACATCGTAGGATTTTTAATGAATTTATTTGCAAATTATGGTGGAAAATAAGTATTTGGTAACCTACAAACAAGCAAGATTTCTGGCTCTCACAGACCTGTAACTTCTTCTTTAAGAGGCTCCTCTGTCCTCCACTCGTTACCTGTATTAATGGCACCTGTTTGAACTTGTTATCAGTATAAAAGACACCTGTCCACAACCTCAAACAGTCACACTCCAAACTCCACTATGGCCAAGACCAAAGAGCTGTCAAAGGACACCAGAAACAAAATTGTAGACCTGCACCAGGCTGGGAAGACTGAATCTGCAATAGGTAAGCAGCTTGGTTTGAAGAAATCAACTGTGGGAGCAATTATTAGGAAATGGAAGACATACAAGACCACTGATAATCTCCCTCGATCTGGGGCTCCACGCAAGATCTCACCCCGTGGGGTCAAAATGATCACAAGAACGGTGAGCAAAAATCCCAGAACCCCACGGGGGGACCTAGTGAATGACCTGCAGAGAGCTGGGACCAAAGTAACAAAGCCTACCATCAGTAACACACTACGCCGCCAGGGACTCAAATGCTGCAGTGCCAACTGCTTAAGCCAGTACATGTCCAGGCCCGTCTGAAGTTTGCTAGAGTGCATTTGGATGATCCAGAAGAGGATTGGGAGAATGTCATATGGTCAGATGAAACCAAAATAGAACTTTTTGGTAAAAACTCAACTCGTCATGTTTGGAGGACAAAGAATGCTGAGTTGCATACAAAGAACACCATACCTACTGTGAAGCATGGGGGTGGAAACATCATGCTTTGGGGCTGTTTTTCTGCAAAGGGACCAGGACGACTGATCCGTGTAAAGGAAAGAATGAATGGGGCCATGTATTGTGAGATTTTGAGTGAAAACCTCCTTCCATCAGCAAGGGCATTGAAGATGAAACGTGGCTGGGTCTTTCAGCATGACAATGATCCCAAACACACCGCCCCGGCAACGAAGGAGTGGCTTCCTAAGAAGCATTTCAAGGTCCTGGAGTGGCCTAGCCAGTCTCCAGATCTCAACCCCATAGAAAATCTTTGGAGGGAGTTGAAAGTCCGTGTTGCCCAGCGACAGCCCCAAAACATCACTGCTCTAGAGGAGATCTGCATGGAGGAATGGGCCAAAATACCAGCAACAGTGTGTGAAAACCTTGTGAAGACTTACAGAAAACGTTTGACCTGTATCATTGCCAACAAAGGGTATATAACAAAGTATTGAGAAACTTTTGTTATTGACCAAATACTTATTTTCCACCATAATTTGCAAATAAATTCATAAAAAATCCTACAATGTGATTTTCTGGATTATTTTTTCTCAATTTGTCTGTCATAATTGACGTGTACCTATGATGAAAATTACAGGCCTCTCTCATCTTTTTAAGTGGGAGAACTTGCACAATTGGTGGCTGACTAAATACTTTTCTTCCCCACTGTAATTGTTTCCTTCTCTCATCGTTCTTTCTCAGACACATACTGAATCTATCATCTCTCTTCCCAGGCTGTTGTGGTACTGGCTGCTGGAGTCATTGCAGAGCTTTGTTGGTGGTGCTTTAAAGATCTAAAGGATATCACTGTCTGACAGGGTAAATCTATATTTGAGGTACTTTCTGAATACTGGTCTATATACTGTAAGATAGGATTGTTTCACTACTAATGAATCTCTGCCCCAGAACCAGCTGGTGATAATGTTGTACATTAATCTCAGTAGGCATAGGAGGCCTTTGGTCATCTTCCCAACAGAAGACGCTGAGGGGTATTTTCCATCGCTTAATGTGCATGATCTGAGTTTAATTGCATTGATCTTCTATGGTTTATTTTTATATACCCTTTTATAATGAACTGCTATTATAGCTTATTAAATATTAAATCTGTGATTGCTTAGAATATTAAACAAGTTATGCAAAATTATTAAATATTCCGCAAATTATACCACTTAAGCATATTAGAGAGATCAATCATGCAGTTGAGCAGTCCTACAGTTGAGCAGTCCCCCCCCCCCCCCCCCCCCCCCCTCCTCCCTCTCTGTGGATGACTTCGTCAACCATTTTGAAAAGAAGGTTGACGACATCCGATCCTCGTTTGTTAAGTCAAATGACACCGCTGGTCCTGCTCACACTGCCCTACCCTATGCTTTGACCCTATGCTTTCTCCCCTCTCTCTCCAGATGAAATCTTGCAACTTGTGACGGCCGGCCGCCCAACAACCTGCCCGCTTGACCCTATCCCCTCCTCTCTTCTCCAGACCATTTCCGGAGACCTTCTCCCTTACCTCACCTCGCTCATCAACTCATCCTTGACCACTGGCTATGTCCCTTCCGTCTTCAAGAGAGCGAGAGTTGCACCCCTTCTCAAAAAACCTACACTCGATCCCTCTGATGTCAACAACTACAAACCAGTATCCCTTCTTTCTTTTCTCTCCAAAACTCTTGAGCGTGCCGTCTTTAGCCAACTTTCTTGCTATCTCTCTCAGAATGACCTTCTTGATCCTAACCAGTCAGGTTTCAAGACTGGTCATTCAACTGAGACTGCTCTTCTCTGTGTCACGGAGGCTCTCCGCACTGCTAAAGCTAACTCTCTCTCCTCTGCTCTCGTCCTTCTAGACCTATCTGCTGCCTTTGATACTGTGAACCATCAGATCCTCCTCTCCACCCTCTCCGAGTTGGGCATCTCCGGCGCGGCTCACTCTTGGATTGCGTCCTACCTGACAGGTCGCTCCTACCAAGTGGCGTGGCGAGAATCTGTCTCCGCACCACGTGCTCTCACCACTGGTGTCCCCCAGGGCTCAGTTCTAGGCCCTCTCCTATTCTCGCTATACACCAGGTCACTTGGCTCTGTCATATCCTCACATGGCCTTTCCTATCATTGCTACGCAGACGACACACAATTAATCTTCTCCTTTCCCCCTTCTGATAACCAGGTGGCGAATCGCATCTCTGCATGTCTGGCAGACATATCAGTGTGGATGACGGATCACCACCTCAAGCTGAACCTCGGCAAGACGGAGCTGCTCTTCCTCCCGGGGAAGGACTGCCCGTTCCATGATCTCGCCATCACGGTTGACAACTCCGTTGTGTCCTCCTCCCAGAGTGCAAAGAGCCTTGGCGTGACCCTGGACAACACCCTGTTGTTCTCCGCTAACATCAAGGCGGTGACCCGATCCTGTTGGTTCATGCTCTACAACATTCGCAGAGTACGACCCTGCCTTACACAGGAAGCAGCACAGGTCCTAATCCAGGCACTTGTCATCTCCCGTCTGGATTACTGCAACTCGCTGTTGGCTGGGCTCCCTGCCTGTGCCATTAAACCCCTACAACTCATCCAGAACGCTGCAGCCCGTCTGGTGTTTGACCTTCCCAAGTTCTCTCACGTCACCCCGCTCCTCCGCACACTCCACTGGCTTCCAGTTGAAGCTCGCATCTGCTACAAGACCATGGTGCTTGCCTACGGAGCTGTGAGGGGAATGGCACCTCCGTACCTTCAGGCTCTGATCAGTCCCTACACCCAAACGAGGGCACTACGTTCATCCACCTCTGGCCTGCTGCCTCCCCTACCTCTGCGGAAGCACAGTTCCCGCTCAGCCCAGTCAAAACTGTTTGCTGCTCTGGCACCCCAATGGTGGAACAAGCTCCCTCACGACGCCAGGACAGCGGAGTCTCTCACCACCTTCCGGAGACACTTGAAACCCCACCTTTTTAAAGAATACCTGGGATAGGATAAAGTCATCCAACTGAGAACTCGGAAATAACGAGATTCGACTAGGTAAAATCGTTTTGAACAGTCATCCAACTCGGAATTCCAAGTTGGAAACTCTGGCATTTCTAGAGCTCCGACTTTCCGACCTGAAGATCACTGACATCATGTTTTGAGTTCCCAGTTGTCTTGAAAGCACCATCACCATCAGATGCAGATACCATCAGTCCAGTAAAATACAAAAACTAATTATTTCAATTTATGCTCCGCAGTGCCTCGCAAGTGCTACACCAACTGATCTATTTTGTTATCAAAGCTCAAGTTTTGAAATATAATATGGTCGGAGAAATAACAATATTGACAGGCCAGGCATATAGCCAATATGCTGTGATAATGTATTAGACCTACTGCCCAAACCTCATTCCTACAGAACTGTTTTTATTAGGTTAATGTTACATTTTTTAAGTCATCTTAAATCAAAATCTGAGCGGTAGATTTCGCTTGCTTTTTGACTGCGAAAGTGATCTTGGCTCAGAAAAGGTTGGTGACCACTGATCTACATCAATGCCACCTTGTGTTACACAGCAAGTTCAAAACAATCCATAACAATTCATAGCAGAAAGAAAAGACGCTTAAAGAGGAAACCTTATTCCTTACCCTCCTGCCTTTGGGTCCTCTGATCCCACCGAGACCCCTTGATCCGGCTTGGCCCTACAGGCGGAAGAACATACAACACATTATATGACGGAAGGCAATAACGTCACCACACTCACTGAGACGAGTTGTAGGACTGACTAATGAGACTGGGATTGGGTCTCCAGGATGCTAGTGAATGTCATTCATCCCCTATCATGGCCAAAGAGCTGAGATCATGCACTTGAAGGACATGTGTTCAGTCATGCCTGTACAAGAGATCCTATTGAGCTGAAGCATGTAATTTTCAAAGAACACCTGGTCAGAAGAAGTCGAAGGGCATTTTCCACCTTTTACAGTAAAGTACTCGCCTGCTGTCTTCTGTGCAGTTTGCTAAAGCAGCTCTGAGACAGTCCAGCATGTCTTGCCACAACTTGTGTGATGTCAGTGCACGGCGTAAAGAGACTAGAGACATGTAGACATGCTATAAAAGCAAAGGGTGGGAGCCGCATTAGCTTTAGCCAGAGGTACTAAAGAAAAGTTTACAGCTGCCTGTTTGAGTGACTGACTGTCACTCTCACTCCCCATCAACATCAACAGAGGTATGTGCTAGGGGGAATTTCTCCCAACCGCCCCTTGTGTGAACAACTCTGTCTTTGGTCTCCAAATGAGCGAAGAGTAAATGGTTTTAGCGGTGTAACTATGTGGGCCTCCTTACAGACCTTTATTGGTTATGTTTACGTAGCTGGATTCCAAACAAGGAAGGCAACAGACCTTTGAGGAACCAGAATGGGTATTAGGCTTAGAATTCTAGTCTGACCTTGAAAGACACTTTAATAAACTACACTCACTCTATGCCAAGCTGTTGTGCCAAATATGACACAAGTTCTAACTTGAAGTCTCATTCAGTTTGTGACTCATTTTTTGTTTACAGCAGTGATGCCTTGCTTCTGAGTTCATTCTGCCATGCAGTATCCAATGCCAAATGACAAAGGATGGTATTTTAGAGTAGTATTGGTGTAATGGGGTTTGTTCTTGTAAAGCTACAGGGAACAGGACGTTTAAAATGGTACCAAACCTTATGGGCCGGTTTCAAAGACCCAGTTTAAGACTACTTCATGGACAAAAAAAAATCTCAATTGAAAGTTGTTTTTAGTCCAGGATTAGGCTTAATCTGTGTCCGGGAAACCCCTACAAAGGTAAAGTGAGCAGGTTTTACTTACTGGTATCCCTAGAGGTCCAGAGGGGCCACACTCTCCAGGAGTTCCAGGATGACCCTGACAGACAGACAGAACAATACAACACCATGAAGACTTCCATCATACTTCAAACCCATTTAACCCCTTTTTTACATACTCTAAATAATACTGAAAATGAACTGGTGACTATTGACAATATGTTGTCTGTTCAGCAATTTAGATGTAATGTATCTATTCTTAGCCTGCATGATGTGGCTGACTGGACAGTTTGTTAGTTTAGATACTGAGTCATACTGTATCTGGCCTACTGTAGTTCTCCTCAATAGCTGTATCATTATGTTTGTTGTCATACAATAAACAGCTTGAGTAAAAAACATTTTCTACCCTTATTTTACCAGGTAAATTGACTGAGAACACATTCTCATTTACAGCAACAACGTGGGGAATAGTTACAGGGGATAGGAGGGGGGATGAATGAGCCAATTGGAAGCTGGGGATGATTAGTTGGCCATGATGGTATGTGGGCCAGATTGGGAATTTAGCCAGGACACCGGGGTTAACATCCCTACTCTTACGATAAGTGCCATGGGATCTTTAGTGACCTCAGAGAGTTAGGACACCCGTTTAATGTCCCATCCGAAAGAATATGTTGTGAAGATATGTACAGTCGTGGTCAAAAGTTTTGAGAATTACACAAATATTAATTTTCACAAAGTCTGCTGCCTCAGTTTTTATGATGTCAATTTGCATATACTCCAGAATGTTATGAAGAGTGATCAGATGAATTGCAATTAATTGCAAAGTCCCTCTTTGCCATGAAAATGAACTTAATCCCCAAAAAACATTTCCACTGCATTTCAGCCCTGCCACAAAAGGACCAGCTGACATCATGTCAGTGATTCTCTCGTTAACACAGGTGAGAGTGTTGACGAGGACGAGGCTGGAGATCACTCTGTCATGCTGATTGAGCTAGAATAACATACTGGAAGCATTAAAAGGAGGGTGGTGCTTGAAATCATTGTTCTTCCTCTGGTTACCTGCAAGGAAACACGTGCGGTCATCATTGCTTTGCACAAAAAGGGCTTCACAGGCAAGGATATTGCTGCTAGTAAGATTGCACCTAAATCAACCATTTATCGGATTATCAAGAACTTCAAGGAGAGAGGTTCAATTGTTGTGAAGAAGGCATCAGGGCGCCCAAGAAAGTCCAGCAAGCGCCAGGACCGTCTCCTAAAGTTGATTCAGCTGCGGGATCGGGGCACCACCAGTGCAGAGCTTGCTCAGGAATGGCAGCAGGCAGGTGTGAGTGCATCTGCACGCACAGTGAGGCGAAGACTTTTGGAGGATGGCCTGGTGTCAAGAAGGGCAGCGAGGAAGCCACTTCTCTCCAGGAAAAACATCAGGGACAGACTGATATTCTGCAAAAGGTACAGGGATTGGACTGCTGAGGACTGGGGTAAAGTCATTTTCTCTGATGAATCCCCTTTCCGATTGTTTGGGGCATCCGGAAAAAAGCTTGTCCGGAGAAGACAAGGTGAGCGCTACCATCAGTCCTGTGTCATGCCAACAGTAAAGCATCCTGAGACCATTCATGTGTGGGGTTGCTTCTCAGCCAAGGGAGTGGGCTCACTCACAATTTTGCCTAAGAACACAGCCATGAATAAAGAATGGTACCAAAATACCCTCCGAGAGCAACTTCTCCCAACCATCCAAGAAAAGTTTGGTGACGAACAATGCCTTTTCCAGCATGATGGAGCGCCTTGCCATTAGGCAAAAGTGATAACTAAGTGGCTCATCGAAATTTTGGGTCCATGGCCAGGAAACTCCCCAGACCTTAATCCCATTGAGAACTTGTGGTCAATCCTCAAGAGGTGGGTGGACAAACAAAAACCCACAAATTCTGACAAACTCCAAGCATTGATTATGCAAGAATGGGCTGCCATCAGTCAGGATGTGGCCCAGAAGTTAATTGACAGCATGCCAGGGCGGATTGCAGAGGTCTTGAAAAAGAATGGTCAACACTGCAAATATTGACTCTTTGCATAAACTTCATGTAATTGTCAATAAAAGCCTTTGACACTTATGGAATGCTTGTAATTATACTTCAGTATACCATAGAAACATCTGACAAAAATATCTAAAAACACTGAAGCAGCAAATTTGTGAAGACCAATACTTGTGTCATTCTCAAAACTTTTGACCACGACTGTACAAGTAATTGCCAAAATAAAGGAAACATCAACATAAAGTGTTTTAATAGGGTTTGGGACACCACGAGCCAGAACAGCTTCAATGCACCTTGGCATAGATTCTACAAGTGTCTGGAACTCTATTGGAGGGATGCAACACCATTCTTCCACGAGAAATTCCATCATTTGATGTTTTGTTGATGGTGGTGGAAAACGCTGTCTCCGGCACCGCCCCAGAATATCCCATAAGTGTTAAATTGGGTTGAGATCTGGTGACTCATCAAACCATTCAGTGACCAATCGTGCCCTGTGGCTGGGGGCATTGTTATACTATGGGGGCATAGCCATGGTAGTCAAAAATAATGGCCAGCCCAACATTTTTAGACATGACCCTAAGCATGATGGGATGTTAATTGCTTTTAATTAACTCAGGAGCCACACCTGTGTGGAAGACCCTGCTTTCAATATGCTTTGTATCGCTCATATACTCAAGTGTTTCCATTATTCTGGCAGTTACCTGAAGATTAAAACAATATGGCACCTCCAGCTGTCTTTCTGCTGTGTAAGCAAATGTGTCTGCATTTACCATACTGGGTATTGAGTTGAGAGGCTTGTATTATATTTACATTTTAGTCATTTAGCAGACGCTCTTATCCAGAGTGACTTACAGTTAGTGAGTGCATCCTTTTTTTTAATACTATTTTTCATACCCCCGTGGGAATCGAACCCACAACCCTGGCATTGCAAACGCCATGCTCTACCAACTGAGCTACATCCCTGCCGGCCATTCCCTCCCCTACCCTAGACAACGCTGGGCCAATTGTGCGCCGCCCCATGGGTCTCCCGGTCACGGCCGGCTACGACAGAGCCTGGATTCGAACCAGGATCTCTTAGACCACTGCGCCACTCGGGAGTAGAGTATAGAGTATTGAGAGGAGATATAAAAATAACTTATTTGGAAACTTCTGCACACTTAGATCCAACATAAATACTATTCTCGCTACAGTTCATCTCAACATGAAGTCGGCAAGTATGACCTAACAAAAACGTAATTTCATACAAGATATACAAGCTCAATACATAGCTCTTTTCAAACAGAATGATACCTATCTTAGTACCCCATTCCTCATCTCCAAGCCCCCACATGACACCCTGTCCTACCCCCTAATCCTAGACCCCCACATGGAACATTACCCTACCCATATAGAGTTGAATGCCCCTGGGAAGAGAGACGGGGTCCAGACTTACTCCTTACCATCGCCCCCTTTTCCCCTGGCGGTCCAGGCAAGCCCATCTCCCCACGGTCCCCCTGGGAAAACAAACATAACTATAAAGACCCTGTTTCACATAGATAAGGCCAGTAGTTTTCCTGAACACATGACCTGACTAGAAAAACTCTGGGCCTGGAGTTAGTCCTAGTCAGGTCACAAGGTCAGGGGAAACCCAGGGTAATAGTGACAGTGCCTTCAGAATGTATTCATACCCCTTGACTTATTCAACATTTTGTTGTGTTACAGCCTGAATTCAAAATGGATTAAATATTGTTTTTTTCTCACCCATCTACACACAATAGCCCAAAATGACAAAGTGAAAACATGTTTTTAGAATTTTTAGCAAATGTATTGAAAATGAAATAAATGAATATCTAATTTACATAAGTATCCACACCCGTGAGTCAATATATATTAGAATCATCTTTGGCAGAGATTACAGCTGTGAGTCTTTCTGGATAAGTCTCTAAGATCTTTGAACGCCTGAATTGTACAATATTAGCAAATTATTCTTTTTAAAACTGTTGAAGCTCTGTCAAGTTTTTTTCTTAATTTTTTTTTAGGGGGTAGATCAGCTTTAATATTGCAGATAGATTGTAACTTCCATCAATGTAATTGTCTGCATCACTTCCAATGCCCCATATGTTTTTTTCTCTCTCGCAAATATATATATATATATATATATATATATGAAGTCGGAAGTTTACATACACTTAGGTTGGAGTCATTAAAAATAGTTTTTCAACCACTCCACAAATTTCTTGTTAACAAACTAGAGTTTTGGCAAGTCGGTTAGGACAACTACTTTGTGCATGACACAAGTCATTTTTCCAACAATTGTTTACAGACAGATTATTTCACTTATAATTCACTGTATCACAATTCCAGTGGGTCAGAAGTTTACATACACTAAGTTGACTGTGCCTTTAAACAGCTTGGAAAATTCCAGGAAATGATGTCATGGCTTTAGAAGCTTCTGATAGGCTAATTGACATAATTTGAGTCAATTGGAGGTGTACCTGTGGATGTATTTCAAGGCCTACCTTCAAACTCAGTGCCTCTTTGCTTGACATCATGGGAAAATCAAAAGGAATCAGCCAAGACCTCCACAAGTCTGGTTCATTCTTGGGAGCAATTTCCAAACGCCTGAAGGTACCACGTACATCTGTACAAACAATAGTACGCAAGTATAAACACCATGGGACCACGCAGCTGTCATACCGCTCAGGAAGGAGACGCGTTCTGTCTCCTAGAGATGAACGTACTTTGGTGCGAAAAGTGCAAATCAATCCCAGAACAACAGCAAAGGACCTTGTGAGGATGCTGGAGGAAACAAGTGCAAAAGTATCTATATCCACAGTAAACTGAGTTCTATATCGACATAACCTGATAGGCCGCTCAGCAAGGAAGAAGCCACTGCTCCAAAACCGCCATAAAAAAGCCAGACTACAGTTTGCAACTGCACATGGGGACAAATATTGTACTTTTAGGAGAAATGTCCTCTGGCCATAATGACCATCGTTATGTTTGGAGGAAAAAGGGGGTTACTTGCAAGCCGAAGAACACCATCCCAACCGTGAAGCACGGGGGTGGCAGCATCATGCTGTGGGGGTGCGTTGCTGCAGGAGGGACTGGTGCACTTCACAAAATAGATGGCATCATGAGGAAGGAAAAATATGTGGATATATTGAAGCAACATCTCAAGACATCAGTCAGGAAGTTAAAGCTTGGTCGCAAATGGGTCTTCCAAATGGACAATGACCCCAAGCATACTTCCAAAGTTGTGGCAAAATGGCTTAAGGACAACAAAGTCAAGGTATTGGAGTGGCCATCACAAAGCCCTGACCTCAATCCTATAGAACATGTGTGGGCAGAACTGAAAAAGCATGTGCGAGCAAGGAGGCCTACAAACCTGACAACTTATTGTGGGAAGCTTGTGGAAGGCTACCCGAAACATTTGACCCAAGTTAAACAATTTAAAGGCAATGGTACCAAATACTAATTGAGTGTATGTAAACTTCTGACACACTGGGAATGTGATTTGACATTTCCATATGTTTTTGTTAGCTCCATGTGCGACATAACTCCACCAGTCCTACCGATGATATCATTTACGAAGATTATACCTTTTTTAAACATTTTGTCAAAAAAAAACGTTTTTTTTTATAAATTAGTATATTTGAGTTTAACCACAATATTGGTTGCATTATTTGTTCTGTCGTTTCTGGAGGATTAAATTGAAATTGCAAACAACTTTCTATGGCTTGTTTTAGAAATAGTGATATTTGGGAGATTATTTTCTTTTCAAATAACTGAAAGTGAGAGGTTGTAATCTGAATAAAGGGAAAAAGGCCATTCTTGAACATTGGGTGAGACAATCTTACTAATTTGCTAGAGAACCAGTTCAGATTTAAGTATAACTTTTGTATGACTAAAGCTTTTAGTGATAGGTCTAATGCTTTAATATTTAATAATTTCTGTCCTTCGAATTCATATTCATTATATAAATAGGCCCATTTAATTTTGTCTGGCTTGCCGTACAAAATAAAATGGAATACGGTTTTCTCATATAATTTAAAAAACTGTTCACTAGGCGTAGGCAAGACCATAAGCAAATAGGTAGACTGGGATAATACTAAAGAGTTCATCAGGGTGATTTTTCCACAAATAGACAGGTATTTACCTTTCCATGGTAGCAAGATCTTATCTATGTTTGGGTGTTGCGTGTTGTTGTAATATTTGTCGATATATTTCTCTAGCCTTATAATTTGTTTTGTGTTATTATCCAGATTGAATGTTATTACCCTCAAATATATGAAATGTTAATATTTAGTCTAACTTACTGATATTGAATATTATGTTTTTATTTTGAGGTGATTTGTACCGCTGTGTATTCAATACGCCATCTTGAAGCCGATTTAAGTCAAAACTGTAACTAGGCCACTCAGGAACATTCAATGTCATCTTGGTAAGGAACTCCAGTGTATATTTGGCCTTGTATTTTAGGTTATTGTCCTGCTGAAAGGTGAATTTGTCTCCCAGTGTTTGTTGGAAAGCAGACTGAACCAGGTTTTCCGCTAAGATTTAGCCTGTGCATAGCTATATTCCGTTTATTTTTAAACAAAAAAAACTCCCTAGTCCTTGCCGATGACAAGCATAGCCATAACATTATGCAGCCACCACCATCCTTGAAAATATGAAGAGTTATACTTAAGGATGTGTGGTGTTGGATTTGCCTCAAATATAACGTTTAGTATTCAGGTTCAATTCTTTCTTTGCCACATTTATTGCAGTTTTACTTTAGTGCCTTGTTGCAAACAGGATGCATGTTTTGGAATATCTTTATTCTGTACAGGTTTCTTCTTTTTACTCTGTCAGGTTAGTATTGTGGAGAAACTACAATGCTGTTGATCCATCCTCAGTTATCTCCTATCACAGCCATTAAACGATGTAACTGTTTTAAAATCAACATTGGCCTTATGGCGAAATCCCTGAGTGGTTTCCTTCCTCTCCGGCAACTGAGTTAGGAAGGAAGGATGCCTGTATCTTTGTAGTGACTGGGTGTATTGATACACCATCCAAAGTGTAATGAATAACTTCACTATGCTCAAAGGGATATTCAATGTCTGTTTTTAATCATTTTTAACACTATTATTGCACAGTCCATGCAACTTATTAGGTGAATAGTTAAGCAAATGTGTACTCCTGAACTTATTTAGGCTTGCCATAATAAAAGGGTTGAATACTTTTTTCAGCTTTTAATTTGTAATAAATGTGTAAACATTTCTAAAAACACAATTCCACTTTGACATTATGGGGTATTGTGTGTAGGCCAGTGACCAAAGAAATCTCAATGTAACAAAATGTGGAAAAAGTCAAGGGGATGTGAATACTTTCTGAAAGCACTGTATATCACAAGACATCAACAGGAAGCAATCCCAGCAGGCAAAACTGGTTGAAATTACTTAATAAGAACCAGATTACAACTGTTTGTAATAACGTTATTTCAACCAGCTTTGCCAGCTGGGAAAGTAGAACTATAACATATATGAATCAGTGTCTCTTTTAATATGACAACATAAGATATATGACATGAGAAGTTTTCCTGTAATGTCTAACGTAAAGATACACATCTAACCTTTTCTCCTGCGAGGCCTGTCTCCCCAATAGAACCAATGAAACCCACGAGCCCCTGAAGAGAGCAACACAGGAAAAGACACAATCAAAGTCCTGTACTTACACCATTACCTTCGGAGCGGTGGGGCAAAAGAAAAACACAAACAGAAACACTCACACAGAGAGAGAGAGAGAGAGAGAGAGAGAGAGAGAGAGAGAGAGAGAGAGAGAGAGAGAGAGAGAGAGAGAGCTCATATGCTAAATATACTGCCCCCAGAGTACACAGTACACACACACACAGAGTAAAGTAAACAAACAGAGAGAGAGTGAAGCCTTTACCCTCTCTCCAAGCTTTCCGACCTCTCCAGTTATTCCAGTCTCGCCCTATAGCAGAAGACTGAATTAGCATTCATTAACAGATTCAGACTTTTTAAAAGTTCAGATCAGCCAGAGAGAATGTGGTTAGAGGCCAGTCCCCCTGGTAGTAGAAAATTAACATCAAATGTACACACAGTTAAATAAGACTTTACAGGTTGGGAGAAAGAGAGACAGAAAGAGAGAAAGAGAGAAACAGGCAGAGAGAGAAAAAGAGAAACAGGCAGAGTGAGAGAGCAGGGGAGACCATGTTTAATGACAGATAACAGTGATAGTGATAGACTCAGGTGGATGGAGAGAGAGAGAGAGAGAGAGAGAGAGAGAGAGAGAGAGAGAGAGAGAGAGAGAGAGAGAGAGAGACTCAGCCAGTTGAATGGTGCATCATGTTAATAGGATCTGACCTTCAATCCTTCGGGACCTGTTTCCCCCGGGAATCCCTGCCTTCCAGGTCTGCCCTGAACAGAAAACAAACATGAACCATAGTACAGTACTTCATCAGATTCAGATTCAGAGTGTTTAATAGTCACAGGTACAGGGTTGCAGGTGTGATAGCAGGGTACAGTGAAAATCTTAGGCTCCGAGCTCCAACATGCAGGACACAGTGAAATAAAATAATGAAAATGGTAATAAAAAAACAACAATCTAAATAGAAATAGCACTATATACATCATAACAACTGTAGCAGTGATTAATAAATGAATGTCCATTGGGGTGGAGGCAGAGTAAAGATTGTTGAGGGGGTGGGGGAGAATATCCATATGGTGATAAGAAAACATTAAGAGCACCATTAAAGCACTCAGCTTTTACACAAATTTGGTGGAATGTCTTCTGCTATTGTCAAAGTTTAATGTGCAAAACAATCTGTGATACTTTTGTAGGGTTTTTGCGTAAGTCTTTTTCCTGGCAGAGAATTGAAACGTCACTATCCCACTCTATATTCTTCAATGACTCATAAATACATCAACAATAGAATCCATCAGCATTAGGAAACTTTGAAGCTGAACAAATTCAGCATCAAAGTTCCCTAATGCATTACAGCATTAAAGGCCCAATGCAGACGTTTTTATATTAATATGAACTCATTTCTGGGTAACAATGAAGTACTTTACGAACTAGGTTTCTTTCCATCCACAATTTGTAAGCGGGTACCGCAAGTCATACCACATTAAAAAAGAAAACTGCTGATTAGTAGGTCCTGTATTGTATTTTCAACCAGCAACTATCAGGGAATAACACTGATCACCTTTTTTCACACTGTTAGAGTGTTAGTTTCATCAGCTACACAGGAAAAACTAAATGTTGACTGCACTGGGCCTTTCAAATATAATGGGATCAAATGTGTTGTGTGTAATATTGAATTAGTATATTCAGTTAGTTGTGGTTTCCGTCTTTTGGAGATGGCAGTTAGGAATCCTCTGTTCTTTAATGTGCTTACTCAGATGTATGAGTATGAACTTGGGGTGACTCCAGACTAACTCTTTATTCAGGCTGTGATGGATGCAAATTGGATGTCTCTGCAGGAAGATGCAGTACAGTGGAATCCAAGGCTACTGTCTGCGTCCCAAATGGCACCCTATTCCCTATATAGGGCCACCCCTGGTCAAAAGTAGTGCACTTTATAGGGAATAGGGTGCCATTTGGGATGCATACACTGACTGACACAATCAGAGGTTTGGCTTTCAGACCTAGCTTAATGGATCTAGGAGAAGAGGAAGAGAGAGTCTATCCTCATTTATATCCAGATGTTCATGATTATTTAGAGTAAGGAATGGGGAATCTATCTGTCTACATTGGAGGAGTTTGACTTAACAAGCTCACAAAATATTAGGCAAGAGAGACTGGAGAGTTATTAACAGCCATTCCAACTGATGTTATTTTAAATAAATTGTTCAGTATTTTAATGAAGGCTTGACATTTACTATCAGTGTTTAGCAAAATGGCTGTGTTCCGAAAGCAACAACTTAAAAAATGAATGCAGGAAGCAGATATTTGGACGGTTTCTTATTTCAAATAAATCATAATTCTCTAACTGGGATAACTGACTAGGTACATAAATGAGTGGCTTTATTTTCATTGGTTTAAAACCATAAAGCTTTGTTTTTTATAATCCCATCTCATCCAATGGTGTTGTTTTTGTATTATAGATGAGCACCATGTGGAGATGTGGCAGAGCACAGCAATTTTACTGACCAAACCGGTGCCACAAATGCACAATAAGCAGTGAGCCATCTATCAAAATAGATTTTCTGCACAATAGACTGAAAGCTAGCCAAGGGCTGCTGGTATATAGCTAACCAGATCATAGTGATTCAGCTGGATTTAAACATGGACTGCAGCAAATTGCCTCCCACTCTGAAGTGTCATTGTTATGAAACAGGCTTTTGGATGGTGGAGGTGGACATTTGGGGGTTTTCATGTGCTGAGTGACCCATATTGTGTTTTCGGATTTCCTTGTTTTGGTTTTGTGCTGTCCAATCAGCACTCACCTCCGGTCCTGTTGGCCCAGGTGGTCCCAGTGGCCCCTCATCACCCTGGAAAACAATATGGAAACAGAGGGTCAAGACAGGGACAAAAGTACTGTGCATAAAAAACACTTTGTATTATCACTGGCCTATGTGACAATGCCAGATTTCTGTCTTATCTCTTACATACATACTACATACATAGCCAAAATAAGACTAGATCTTGACATGTTTAGTAAATACAGTACACTAAAGACAATCCCACCTCTAGTCCAGCTGTTCCTCTAGGCCCTGGTAAACCTCTGTTCCCTGGCTTCCCCTGAGGAGAATGATACAGAATGTTAGATTGTGTAAGGACCCCATGTTGCTGTCCATGATGCACCATTGGCAATAAAACAGGACTGGTCCCCAGCAGTCACCACGGTCCCCAGAAAAGGCCTCCATGGTCCATGTGCCTGCTCCTTGCCAACCGCTGTTCTTGGTATTCACTAAAAACCAACTGAACCTCCCAGACCACTTCTCAACACTAAGGGCTACTATTGCTCATAGAAGTGCTTGATCCAGCCGACTATGCCAAATGAAGATGCTAAGTACACAACCATTGTTTTCCGACAGATGCTGTCATTCTAACCGACCGCATTGCCATGAACTATGTGAAGATGGAATCTTCGCACCATCTGACATAAGACAATGGTGCATTACTAGATATGCAGAAAAATAGTGCCTGTAAACTGACCTTTGGGCCTTCAGGGCCATTGTGACCTGGTGGGCCGATGTCTCCTGGGAATCCCTGAGGACAACCAGAGAACAGGTTGAATATAATCCATCACATGAAGATAATATAGGTCATGTGTAATCTTTCCACCCACACACAGATCCTTACCTCTTGGCCGGGAGGGCCAGGTATACCATCAGGTCCTTGGTCACCGTTCACCCCCTAGGAGAGAAATTTCAAAAGTGATAACCTAGTAGTATACTTTACATAGTCCCAGGTACACAGATAGGTCTCTATAAAGGTTAATGGACTCACCTGTGGCCCTGGTTTCCCTTGAATGCCTGGCAACCCAGGTGAACCCTGGATACCCTGTAAAACAATGAGAGCATTTCTGTGAAAATAAGTTATCCACAGTTAAACCCCAGACACAAAGACTCAAACGACAAACATCAGCACCATCTGTCAGGTGGTAGCGGAGTGAAATACCTTGTCACCTTGGAATCCATTCTCTCCTTGCTCTCCTGGAAGACCAACTTCACCCTGAAGAGTGAGACAGGTTAGAAGGTTAAGAATACACTAACAAATGTACACTATAAATCCTCATCTCTATTGATGAGTACTATAGCCAGCTGTCGGGCAGATTCAGTATGGCCAGTAGGCTGTCATCTGGTGACCTGTCGACTGCATAGGAACACTGCACATCTGCCGTTGTTATTGGCTGAGTACAGCATGTGTATGTGTGCACTTTTACTAAGAAAAGCACATATTTCTCAGTACCTTATACATATGTGTGATACATGGAGCACATAGCAAGCCCATGCTTTAAATTTGCAGTGATTGATGATGAGTGTCATCGTGTAGGCTTGGGAAAGTCTTTAAACTGTTCCTGAATCAGATTGCTAGAGATGTCTGTAGTTTTAGCGCATGTAACCTCATCCCCAGAGAGCCAGGTAGTGGACGAGACTATATTGCATGCATAATTTGATCTGATAGCATGGTTTATTTACATACAGTAGGCTAATAATGAGGTATTCAGATCACCTTATCACCTTTCAGTCCTGGTTCCCCTGGGTTTCCTGGTACCCCCTGAAATTTAACCAATCACAGATGAGCAAACAGGCCTGGTGTTGCCCCGAGAGAAATTATGACACCTCCTGCATTGTATTACATTTACAACATTTTGTAACAGCATGTACAGTAGACGTGAGTAAAGCAGTAGGTCAGTTACCTTGAGTCCACATGGTCCTGGCAAACCCATCATCCCTACAGGACCCATGTCTCCCTGCCACCAACAACACACAGAACACACACTTAGAACACTGTAGACGGAAATGCAGCCCTACAGCTGTAGGACAATTATGTCATGCACATTCCTAACATATGTATACAGTAGTTAAGTTGAATGATGGAGTAATGCTCTTGCTCTATGTTCTTAATGGCAACATTTGGGACATATATTTAGCTCTGTTTATCACAAAAGACTGCAACAAGACAAACTATAATCAGGCATCCCCAAACCAATCAGTGTCCTAGAGATTACAGTGGAGCAGAGACTGAAGGTGCACACTTAGAAAAAAAGGTGCTATCTAGAAGCACAGAGGGTTCTACACAGAACCACAAAATGTCTAGCTGGAACCAAAAAAGGGTTCTACCTGGAACCAAAAATGGTTCTTCAAAGGGTTCTCCTATGGGGACAGCTGAAGAACCCTTTTAGGTTTTAGATAGCTCCTTTTTTTCTAAGAGTGTGCACCTTCACTCTCTGCTCCATTGCACTCTATAGGACACTCTGCATGTAGAACCCTCCACAGACGGTTCTACATAGAACCCAAAAGGTTTCTACCTGGAACCAAAAAGGTTCTACCTGTAAAGAAAAAAAGGGTTCTCATATGGGGACATCCGAATAACCTTTCTGGAACCCTTTTTTCTAAGAGTGCACATGCCACATGGGTTTTTATACTCACAATGAGGCCGGGAACTCCATTAGGACCAGGGGCTCCCAGCTCGCCCTAAGAGAGAGAGAGAGAGAGAGAGAGAGAGAGAGAGAGAGAGAGAGAGAGAGAGAGAGAGAGAGAGAGAGAGAGAGAGAGAGAGAGAGAGAGAGAGAGAGAGAGAGAGAGAGAGAGAGAGAGAGAGAGAGAGAGAGAGATAGAATTTCTAAGGTTATAGGCTCTATTCCAAACAAACACAGGCAGAAGAGAGGCACAGTGTTCCTTACGCTTCTGGGAGTAGGAGGGGGAGAGACCCTAGATCTCAGAATGTATGTGTGTGTTGTGTCCCCCCCCCCCCCCCCCCCCCGCTTGTGTAATCTCCAGCTCCCATCTCGTGGGTCAGGCCAGGCTAATGAAAGGGGGGCTGGCGCGACACACAGAGAGGGGCTTGTTGTCCCCGGTAACTACCCCACTGATACGTGCCATGCCCACATCCTCTCCAGGTAGAGAGAGAGAGAGATACTTGATCTGTGAACTGAAATAAAAACAAAGCCGAAAAAAGCTGAAAAAGCTTGGAAGAAAGCTTTTTCAAAAGAAGAAAGAGATTTTCAAAATGGAGATTATGTACCATACAGATGTATTCTCTTTAAAGGCAAAGAAAAACGTTAAAAGTAAAATAATGAGAGAGTCACCCGAGACTTCTCAATACTATAAGGGAAGAAAACCACAATAAATCTCTTATTTCATACTGAGAGCCCCTCAGCCTGGCACCCTGCTGTGCATGAAATACCCAAAACATGGAAAAGGCAGACAGATAACAATCAATGAGGACAAACTGCCCCTGCCTCACCATTAACGTCTATCATAACGGCACCATCATGATCCAGCCAAAGCAGCCTAAGGAAGTTCCAGGAAGAGTTCTAGTCCCTAAGAGAAGACACAAAGGAGCAAGCAGCCTCTCCACAGATCAACATCCAGGAGAAGACCACCCGTCCAAGCCCTGACAGCAGACTCGTCTCTCTAAGACTCTCCTCCCACATCAAATCTCTCAGAAAGTCTATCTGTTCTAGAAAGAGACTTTTCTGAGTTCAGGGAGAAATCATTGACCTGCCAGAGCAGAGGCAGTCAAGAGCCGACAGAAGAGGAGATCAGCCTGGTGACTCAGTGGAAACAGCAGCCTAGTGAGATCAGGGAGCTACAGTCAGCCACGAGAGAACTGGAGGAGGACAACCAGGCCCTCAGAATGTAAGTGTGTCGCCTGGGAGAGATGCTGGCCATCACTGTCAACAACAGCCACTTGCAAGACCTACAGAGAGAGCTACAGGAGCTGAAGGAAGAGGTCATCAGGCACCAGCCCGGCCACACTGCAGGGAAAGAGTCATCAAGCTCTGGTGCCCTACGACATACACTGCCATGGAGTTGCTGTCAGAAGAGAGACTGAAAGAGGCAGAACACATCCATATTTACTCCGGGACAAACAGCGTGACAGCATGCAGGGACAACCTGGCCAAAGCTCTGAGACAAGAGGCTACCAAAGCTACTAAAGATTTCCCTTCAGCCAGAATCATCCGAGAGTCATCGACACCATCAACACAGAGGTATCACAGCAACACAGAGGTATCACAGGCCTGTTGCTCTCTGACAAAGGTGCATCTGGTGCATCACTAGGACATTCAGCCTCATCCCTTCTATGACCACGTGCACCTCAGCAAGAACAGAGTCACGGTCTTCACAAAAGCCCGGAAAGACACTGCCCGGGGACAGGACCCCCTCCAATGCCCACACCATGCCCAGAGACTCTAACCAGCACTACAAGAGTCCCAGGGCCCCTCCTCAACGTCCAAGGAGCCCCAAATTACAGGGAGCCCACATCCCCACTGGCCCCTGTCACCATGCTGCTCCTGGTCCTCATGTCCCCCCATGAGTCATCCCTGGCAGAGTACCCACCCAGCCAGCCACAACAGGCATTACAGAACAGTTACGCAGTAGTGACTGCAACAGGGTCCTCAGTACAGGACAACCAGAGCCAGATAAGAGACCTGTTGGCTCTAATCTGCTTTCAGATAGGCATACTGAACTAAAACCATACATCCACTACAGATGACATCCAGGGTAAAGTACTAATGTATGCATAGGATATGTAGAACTATTATTATTATTAATGAATATTTAAACACTGTTTATTTGTTTTATGCGGATAACATGTTATAACACATGATAACACCCACAATGATAACAAATTGGTTCACAGATTAAGCATTCCACTGTTAAACACATAAAGGACTTGGCATATAGGATCCTTAAGTATAAGCAGCTATAACATTCAGGGTTTGTGCTCTTCAACATTTGGTGTGAAAAGCACAGACCCAGACTTTGTAGATACTGTAAAGTTTCCTGTTTCAGCATTACAAAGCCCCTGTGCACAAAGCGAGGTCCATACAGAAATGATTTGTCGAGTGCGGTGTGGAAGAACTGCGAGCCAAGCCTAATCCCCCAACATCAGTGCCCGACCTCACTAATGCTCTTGTGGCTGAATGGAAGCAAGTCCCAGCAGCAATGTTCCAACATCTAGTGGAAAGCCAGCAAAGGGGGGACCAACTCCATATTAATGCCCATGATTTTGGAATGAGATGTTCATTTGCCTGTTTTATAGACTTTCAAAAAGCCTTTGAAGGTATGTTCTTAAAACTCCTTCAAGGAGGCAATGTGTATCACATTATTAATGTGATCTATAAGGAAAACCAATGTTGTATAAAAGTTGTCAAGAAAATAAAACGATTCTTTAGTCAGGACAGAGGAGGCTGCAATATTAGTCCAACCTTATTCAATATTTCTATAAATGAACTGGCTACCATATTAGAACAATCTACATCTCTGGGACTCACCTTATAAATAAAGTTTATTTTATATGCCGATGAATTAGTAATCTTGTCAACAAAAAACAGGGGCTACAACCATAGCCGCGGGAAGTAGGGGTGCTGGGGGTACTGCATCTTCCCCTGATAAATAGAAATAATGTCTGAACAGACATAAATATAATCATTCAAAATACTACACCAGAGAGCATGATTTACTGTAGCCACAGAGGATCAATAGCTTCTACAAAATTGCTGTGGATTAAGTTTTATTACAAGCACTTTGTTGCAATTTGGGCAGCGTGACAAATATATACTGAACAAAAGAATATAAATGCAACATGCAACAATTTCAACGATTTTACTGAGTTACAGTTCATATAAGAAAATCAGTAAATTGAAATACAGAAAATTCATTAGGCCGTAATCTATGGATTTCACATCACTGGGAATACAGATATGCATCTGTTGGCCACAGATACCTTTAAAAAAAAGGTAGGGCCGTGGATCAGAAAACTAGTCAGTATCTGATGTGACCACCATTTGCCTCATGCAGCGCGACACATTTCATTTGCATAACGTTGATTGTGGCCTGTGGAATGTTGTCCCACTCCTCTTCAATGGCTGTGCGAAGTTGCTGGACATTAGCGGGAACTGGAACATGCTGTCGTACACATTAATCCAGAGCATCCCAAACATACTCAATGAGTGACATGTCTGGTGAGTAGGCAGGCCATTGAAGAACCGGGACATTTTCATCTTCCACGAATTGTGTACAGACATGGGGCAGTGCATTATCATGCTGAAACAGGAGGTGATGGCGGCGGATGAATGGCCCAACAATGGGCCTCAGGATCTCGTCATGGTATCTCTTTGCATTCAAATTGCCATCGACAAAATGCAATTGTGTTTGTAGTCCGTAGCTTATGCCTGCCCATACCATAACCCCACCGCCACCATGGGGCACTCTGTTCACAACGTTGACATGGGCAAACCGGTCGCCCACATGATGCCATGCTCGAGGTCTGTGGTTGTGAAGCCGGTTGGACGTACTGCCAAATTCTCTAAAACGACATTGGAGGCGGTTTATGGTAGAGAAATGAATATTCAATGCTCTGGCAACAGCTCTGGTGGACAATCCTGCAGTCAGCATGTCAACTGCACACTCCCTCAATACTTGGAGACATCTGTAGCATTGTGTTGTGTGACAGAACTGCACACTTTAGAGTGGCCTTTTATTGTCCCCAGCACAAGGTGCACCTGTGTAATGATCATGCTGCTTAATCAGCTTCTTGATATGTCACACCTGTCAGGTGGATGGATTATCTTGGCAAATAAGCTTTTTGTGCGAATGGAACATTTCTGGGATCTTTTATTTCAGCTCATGAAACATGGGACCAAAACTTTACATGTTGCATTTACATTTTTGTTCAGTGTAAAACAGCTTGTTGCATTGTGGCCGTAGACATATAATCCATAGAAGGATTTTGGAA